TCCACTCAAACCAAGAAGTATACAAATAATAATATTGATGATAACAATATCTGCTGATTTATCATTTAAATCTATCATCCAATAACATATCAATTATTAAATTATTGGAAAGATAATAAGAAAAGGTATTTCAACAGAACTTTTACCTGTGAAATAAGCAGCAGTAGTATAAAGTTTAGAGTTTTCTTCTCTCAAAAAAACCTCTCTTTCATCTGGAAATTAAATAATAACAGGATTAAGAGCTCCCATAAAACTACTCATTACTAAAAAGAATAAAACTCCAATAGTGCTTTAAATTCCTTTATAACCTGGCTCACTTCCAGCAGTCCAAAATATTCCTCCAATTAATAATCCAATAAATATAGTCATGATTATTCTACCTCTAACAAGAACTTTATCCCTTTTCATATTAATCATTCCTCTTCTAAAAATTTCTTTCACTTAAAATGAGAATGTTGTTTAGATTGTTTGTCTTTATATAGTTTATTTTTAGATTTCTTCTATTTGATTTAAGATTTAATTCTAAAATTGATTATTGTATAGTCTATTGATAAATATTTATTGTATAATTGTTAAACAATGTCTAATAATGTGGATGATTTAAGTCTTCATGATGCATGATACTCATTAAATAATCTAAAGGATTAGAATGAGCTGGACAATCAAAACCAATGCTTTTAAAATATTCAACCATTTTATCTCTCTTCCCTTAATAAATAAATTTTCCATGTACTAAAAGCATCACTTAATCAAATAACATATAAATATCTGCACTTGGTTAATGAATTGTAAAAACTATAGTTCTATCAGAACTATGAGCTAGTTTTTTTAATAAATTACTATTCAATCATTCATTAAAATTTTTACATTATAACAAAAGCTGTAAATGAATCAAGTCCAGATGTTGGTTCATCTAACATTATACAATAGGGATCGCTAACCAATTCTACTCCTATTGAGGTTCTTTTTCTCTCTCCACCTGAAATTCCCTTTATTAGAGCATTACCAATCTTTCAATATTAATTTAAATCTTTACTAATGTATTTTAACAACGTTCCAACTTTAAAGTCTTTATTGCATAATCTACTTTCTCTGCTTTCTATTATGGATCAGCATACTTTAAATTTGCTACGAATTCAAATGTTTCCCTTACTGTTAATGTTCCAAAAAGAACATCATTCTACATAACATATGATGAAAATTATGCAAACTAGTCACTATTATAAGGTTATCCATTTGCTTATATCTCTCCTTATAAAGATATATTATTTTATCGGCAGATTCTTTTTGCTAAAATATTAAGTAAAGATGTTTTCCCTGCTCCAGATGCACCCAATATAGCTGTTACTTAACCTGGATAACAAAGTCCTGATAAACTATTCAAAATTGTTCTATTTTCTAACACTCCTTTAGGATTCTTTACAGACACTTAATAAATTAGATTCTTAAAACTAATTGTTACCCTATTTGTTTCATTCTTTTCTTTCAAAGGCATAACAGTTGCTTCTTTCATTATTCTTATTTTTTATTATTAATAATTGGAATTCCAAAATTCCAAGTTTTTATTCCTCAATTAAATTTTATATTTCAACAATTCCTATTAAATCTGAGACTTATTATTTTATATTTATTAGGTATTTTTCACTTCATTAAACCCTATTAATATTATTTCAATCCTTTACCTAACCTATTTTGGTTATTTTATTGGTTAATTCATACTCTTATGCATATTTAAAAAAAAATATTCTCTGATATTTTAACATAATGGAATTTTAATATTTACAAACGTTTAAAGGATTTCTTAAAACTAACTTATTCTTTTATGCTTATATATTTTATTTATATCTAAATCTCCTTAATTTAATAAAAGCTTACTTAATATAAAAATTAAGTCATTTATTTAAATCACATACCTTCGTCTCAACTACAAGTTGTTATTTCGTAAAAATGTAAATTATTCAAAAATAAATATCAATATATAACAATTAAATATCTGCTCAAATTTTGTCAATAAAAATTTTATCAAAGCAATAAAATAACATAATGAAAAGTACACAAGAATTCAAATAAGAGATTGAAAATTTAATTAAAGAATCAGTTTCTAAACATAATTCACCTATGAAAGATGAAGGTGAGATAAAAAAAACTAAATCAAAAAAGCAGTTCTTTTATAATAGAAACAAAATTAATATAAATGAAGCTTGGAAAGAAATTGAAAAGTTATTCGAGAATTTCTCAATTGAGGGGATGGATTCAGTTGAAAAACCAATTTTAGAAGAAGATTAAAAAATTATAGAGTAAAAAGAATTATATCAAACCCCATAACCAAAGGTTCTTTCTCCTTCAGTTTAAACTACAAAAGTTAAAAAGCCAAAAGAAGAGTAAGAGAAAGATAAAATTAACTCCAGTGCTACAAGAAGACTTGCATTTAATTTAGACTGATTTCGTTTATAACTACAATTTAAGTTAATATTATAAACCTTTAAGAATTTATCAATAACTTTCTAATAAACTTTTTTTTTTCTAATATTTTCAATATTTTTTAAATAAGAGAACCATGAATACAATTTTTACTTAGTTTATAATTTATAGAAAGAATGAAAGAAAAATTAAATTATATTTTTTTTAAATGTGCTTACCATATTTATAAGATTTTTTAAATAAAAATTGGTTCAAAAATAAGGAATTCAAAGGTTAGAATATACCTTAATATTTCAGTCTTTTATTTTAACTTATATTTGGATATTAAAACTAAATTTTCAATTATCACTTGATTATAAATTAATTAATTAAATTTAATATCATTAGAAGGAATAAAAGCTCTACTTATTTTCTTGATAGTTTATGCTATTGATATCAGCAAATTATCATCAGAATTTGATGATTAAAAAAAAAATCCAATAATGATTTTAATAATCTCTTACTTTTCACTAAAATTAATCCTGAATACCTTTAATCATATTTTTTCAAAGTATTAAATTACTTTAATTATTCAATTAATAACTGTAAAAACGACTTCAAACTTTAACTAAAAATTAAACCTATAGATCCCATTTTTGCTATATGTCCATGATATGGGAAAATTAATTGGTAAAGGTGCTTAATAGTTACTAGATAACGATATTTTATAGAAAATTGATAAAGAATTTTATTCTCAAAAATTTTACAATTGTTCAAAAATATTTTTGAAAACTATTTTTAAAACAAAAAAATAATTTTATTATTTTGAAGGGGAATTATTAATTAGATAATAGTAAATGTAATTTATAATAGCTGGATTTACTAATTTTAATATTTCGATGGCATATTTAAATTAAACTATTTTAAAGAGGAAATAAAATTTATTAAGATTATAAAAAGTAAAAGAATTCCATTTATTAATTAAAATTCAATGATCGTATCTATGAAAAAATAAATATTTCCAATAATAAATAATTATAAATAAATATGATTAAAATAATTAACGATGATTACATATTATAAGATATATTATAATTAGTTAATGGACGTCAATGATTTTTGATTTACACAAAATTATGGCGTGGTTTGAATAACACTTTATTGTATAAAACATCTAAGCCAAATAGGGTAGCAAATAAAATGGCATACATGGAGACAAGTTCGAATTTGGATAGTAATGCTTGGAAGCCATAGACATGCTATTCATAAATCAAATAATGAAGTCCTATTTAGAAATATTAAATATATATACCATAAATACCAAAATAGAGTATAACATAGATAAAATAAACGAGTCCTTTAATTCTCATCTTTAAATGAGGTTATTTTTCGAATTGGTTGAGTTGCCTAAAAATAGTTAAATTTGTTACATTAAGATCCAGTTTCCTCCATGAACATAAAACATAAGGACCATATCAATTTAACTAATATCTCTATCAGCAAATATCAACTTTGGATCGATAAGAAACATGGTCCAAAACATTGTCATTACAATAAATATAATTGGATTCATGCATTAGTATGCATAATGTGTAAAGGTATGATGTCTAGGGATATTGATAAGCCATCCTCTTCGACGAATGAACTTTATGTCTTCAACAACTTGTGGAATTAAGAAGGAGTACATGCACAAATTGCTGATATTTGTCAAGTACTTGATTTAGTTCCAGAATTCTTCGATTGATTTTGAATCAAAATTGATATACATAAAGTATGTGTGCACAATCAATTGCACTAAATGTATAATGGTTGGGATCATTTGAGTTTATATTATTAATGTGAATTAAGAAAAAATTAATTTTCTTTTTAAATTGTTTACTCTTCTAGAAAATCTTCTGATGAGATCACTAAATGATCTAATCATTTTTTTTTTATATTTTACTGACTTTATCCAAAAGCATTAAAATAAATGACTATAAATGTAAAAGAATTAAAAAACACCAATTTATAAATAATAAGGCTCAAAAAATATAATTCTACATTTATTATTCATTAAATATTAGTTAAGATTTTTAATAATAATTGATATTGAGAAGTAGATTTTAGTTATTTGATGAATAATAAAAGTATGAAATAATTATAAAATAAATAATCAATATAAATTGTTTAAAAAAAGATAACAAAAACCCAAATTTATAAATATTACTATTAGTAAATTTTATAAAATCAAGGAGACTAATCTTAATAATCTTATTAATCAAGTAATTAAACTTATAATGGAGTTTCCATGATTTCATCTTACTCATTACATTGCTCATCTTCTTCAATAATTTTTTATAGTTCAATATAATCTTCTTCATCGTCATTAATTTTAGATTTAAATTTTTCTAAATTATCCTCTTCTTCTTCTGAACTAGATGCTATTAATATAGAATAGAATATACCTTCAACAGAATTTTCATTCTCATTTTCAATTTCCTCTTCATCACTATTTACATCATTTCTAAATCTAACAGAATCTCCATCTGATTAATCTCTTCTTTCACTAAATGGTAAATTAGAGAGAGTCATTATAGATCTACCTTATTAAACAATTGATTATTCACTAAAATATTATTAATAAAAAATACTTATCATCAGGCTCGCTAGAAGACTCTTCTCTTGAATCAGATTTTTTTAATAACTTTTGTACGTTCATTTTAAATAAACAATAACTACCATCATTATTTTAAATTAATTTGATTCTATCATGGCTTTAATAATTTTTATTATAATTAGAAATCATTTTCTTAATAAAGACTAGATTTGATGGTTTAGTCTTTTTACTAAGAAAGATTCTTTTATGTTTAGTCAAATGATATAAAATACCTTTATAATCAGTTCTATGAGGTTTTTATTCTGTTTATTCTTATTCTTCTTTCTCAAATTCAGGTTCTTAAAATGCAACCTTTAAATTCTTTTTACTGTTTTGTCCTTTTATAGGTTCTTATATTTATTATTCTATTTCATTTTATATGATTAAATTTTTTAAAGATTTTGTTTTTTTTAAAGTTGGATTAGAATTATTATCTTAATTTCTTCTCCTTCTCTCCTCATTTTAATCTTCCTAATCACTAATATGATTAATATTATCTTTTTTTTCATCTTAATCATCTACTATGTAGTTAACCTCTGTAGTATTAGTAAGATTATTTTAATTATCTCTATTTTCATTTTTTAAACTTATTTCATTAAATTTTTGAACAGATTATTAAATTAATACTTTTGGATTAACTTTATCTAATTCTTAAGCAATAGTTGTATTAGTATCTGCTTATTATTCATTCATTTTTTATAAGAATTACTCATAGATTTCTGTTTTATTAACCTAACTATGAATATAATCTTTAACTTCTTTTGAACTCCAGGCATCACTTATAACTTTATTAAATTCTTCATAAATTGGTAATGCATTTTTAAGTTCTGTTACTACTTAATTATCTTATAAGTGTTTCTTCATATATTGAATAATGGTTCTATGAATAGTATCAATACTTTTATCAATATTTACATTATCTACTTTAGGAATTAAGAATTCATCAGCTTTTTCCAAAAACCATTTTTGAATCAATCTTATATTCTAAAAATTCTCAACATATTTATTATGCCTAGAATCTAAAGTCATATATTTAGATCTCACAGCAAAACGTTCTTTATGTTTTGATTCTTTTTTTATGCATATAGCAAATGGTAATACTCTTTTATACTTTTTCATAATTTTCATCATAAAAATGGGTGTTAAATGTACTCCTTCAATAATAATTGAATCCATTTTTTCATCAAAAGTATTAATTACATGTTCTAATCTCTATTAAACTAATTCACATTGTGCTTTATATCCTTTAATTATTCTCCTTTATTCACTGATATTAAGATCAGGCAAAGTTTTACCAGCTTCATAAGTACTTGCAAATAAAACAGGATTTTCTTCTTTAGATAAAAAGTTTCTCATAATATGTCTAATGGAATCTGTACTAAACAGTTTAGATTATTTATACCTTAAGACTGTTGAAATTCCAAATCTTGAAGCTAAAATACTACTAGCTGTACTTTTACCAGTTCCTGAAGTACCACCAAATAATATAATGAGTGGCTACTTTTTCTCTGTTAAACTCCATGCAATTTAAAAATCTTCCTTATAAAGCTCTTCTTTTTCTCGAATATATTTTTTCTCAAATACTGAATTGAATACTATTTCTTTAAAGTTTTTTTCAGTTATTGTAGCTGAATTTAATTGTTTATTAGATTATCCATTTATTGGTTAATGGTTCTAATATTTATCGAAATTTTCTAAAAGTATTGAGTGTTTTTGTACCCATCAATTTACTGAATATCATTTCAAAGATTTTTTCACATAGAGAATATGAATGAGCTGCTTTACATCCGCTAATTTACAAGATTATTTTTAACTTTTCCTTATTAATTTTGCGGACTATAATTGGTAAATTGAATACTTTGTTGTTTTTATTTATCATTTGATTAACTTTCTTTAAGCACAAATATAACATTTTAGTCAACATGATAAATATTTGAAGCATTCATTTATTAATTAATTTTCTAGTATTAATTATTCTATATAATATAAAATAAAAGATTTATCCACATTATTATATAGATAAAAAGGCATATCCTAAAACCAAATTACCAAATCTGTCATCAAAAATAATATCATATATAACAAATAAATTGAAATAATATTATCAAACTTTAATTTTAATTTGAGAATATAATATATTTTTAATAGCAATGTTTACTGTATGAAATTATTTACTATACAAAAACCATATGCATTACATATTTATTCCTATAATTAATTTACGACATTACAATGGCTGTTACTTAATCTTTTTTTTCTGACACTTATAATACAAGATTTCCTACTTGGTGTTATGAAAAATGTCCTTGTGATACTTCATAAATGGCAAATCCTACTCATTTTAAAATTTAAATAAATAATGGTAAATAGAAAACGAAACTTCTTTATATATAAAATGATTATTTGATTACCAAGTCAAAATAAGTAAAACAAATCACTATTTTTTAGAACGACTTAAAATGGATCTGTTATTTAAACTCAACATTAAAAGTTTTAAAGAATTCAAGAGAATAAACAAGCACTCTCCTCTTATCATAAGGTCAGAACGAAGTGTCTATAAGTGGAGATATTGAGAACTTGCTTAAAACTATAAAACGATATTCAATTTAGGAAGAATTCAAGATGAAATTCTAATTAATAAAAAAATTAGGACAAGGTGCTTTTGCAGAGGTATATATTTACTCAAATATATTAGGTATATTCAGCCAAGAATAAACAATCAGATGATTATTTCGCAGTAAAAATGTTCGAAAAATAATTTTTTAAATCTTACTTAGACTAATAATCATTATTAAAAGAGATTAAAGTACTTCGAACAATTTATCATGAATCTACTGTGGCATTATTGGAATTATACGAGACATAATGTTACGTCTATGTTGTAATGGAATTACTAAATGGCGGAAATCTTAGTTAGTACCTTGATAAAAATTCTCCTCTTTCTGAAAAATAAACAGCATAGATTGTGTATAATTTATTGATTTCTCTTAATCACATAAATAGTTTTGGAATATTTCATAGAGATTTGAAACCTGATAATATTATATTTCGTGAAAAAGGGAATTTGGATTCTTTATGTATAATTGATTTTGGATTGGCTGATTTCTATAATTAAGAAGCCATATATTTATTCAATAGATGTGGTAGTGTTGGATTTGTTGCTCCTGAAATTTTACATGATTGTGCTTATGATTTAAAGGTTGATTTATATAGTATTGGTATTATAATGTATTGTGCCTTAAATGGTTCATTACCTTTTGAAGGTAATTCTATGTAGAAAGTTTAATAAAACTATAAAGGAGAAGTCAAAACTAATAATTTAAACATAAGTTCAAAGGGATTATAATTTATAAATAGTTTACTTTAACCTAATCCTTAAAAAAGAATAGATTTATAAGAAGCATTGATTCATCCTTGGTTTTTAGAATAAAATTTTAGTAGTATAAAAGGGTTTAAATTAAAAAGTATGAAATAATCAATCATGAAACAAAATCTAATGTTAACTCCTCAATTAATAAAGAGTAGTCCAAATTCTACTCCAAGATCACCTTAAAGTCCTTTAACTAATCCTTCTTAATAATCTTCTTTTTTAATGAGAATGGCAGGAAAAAAACTTAGCAATTTTAAACTTGATGAGGATTTAACTCCAAGAGAGAAAGAATAATATAGTCCCAAATCTAACTTATTGAAAAAGGTTGTAGTAAGAAAATCTATTTTCAATCATTTAGAACCTCTTAAAAGACAAAGAAAATTAGAATGATATAGATAATGAATCTGTGATAATATTTATAGAAATATTTATAATATAATATTATAATTTCCTTATTGGTTAATAATAAAATATTATAATTCTTAAATTATATTTTTAAATGATGCGCAATATCTCAAGATTTCGATTTAGTATGATTATGGATTTAAATAATAATATTTAAAAAGATGAAATACATAATTAACTTAAAAATTATGGATATTTATTAGTCAAAGACTCAAGAATTGATTGGAAAGCAAATGAAGAATATTTTGATTTAATGGAGACTTATTTTGATAAAAGATCTAGAGAATTAGAATAGAATGGAAAAGTTAATGATTGTTTTCCTTAATATAAATATTAAGTTGGATTAGGATATGAAAATATAGGTAAACCAAATTACGATAAGGAGTCTTTGAAATATATGATTGATCAACCAATTATAATTGATAGAGATCCTAAATGGAAATACTTTTGGCCTTATAGATATGATGGATTATATAATCCTCCTAAATGGATTCCATAAGATTTTAAGAATTTTGAAAGTATTATGAATAATTGGTAATTTTAATTATTAAGAACAACAGAATAAGTATTAGAAATATTGTCATTAGCATTTGAAGAGGAAAAAGAATTTTTTTATAACAATATGAATAAAGCAACTCATTTATTATCACCAATAGGTTGTGATTTATAAAAGCATTAAATAAACACCAGATTTTCTGGATATCATTATGGTACTATTATATGTATTATATGAATTAAGATTTAAATTTTATTACAGTTCATACAAAATCAAGATTTCCTGGTTTATTTGTCTGGTTACCTAATGGAAAAAGAGTAGAATTAAGAATTCCTGAAAAAACTATATTATTTTAACCAGGAAAACTGTTTGAATTTATGACAGGAGGTATTTATAAGGCAGGATATCATGAAGCCTTATTAACAGAAGAAGCTAAGAAAGAATCAATAAAATTAAATAAAAAATGGAGAGTAACTTCAACTATATTTATTATGCTTAATGATAATACAATATTATAACCAATGAATTATTTCAAAAATTTAAATATTTAGAAATATGAAGCAATAAGTGTAAAAGAATAATTTAAGAAAGAACTTAATAAATTGAGTTATGTATGATATATTATGTAAAATAATCTAAATATTTCATTTCTTAACTGAAGTTGTGACTTAAGTTAAAGGTTTTTAGTAATAACTTGTAGATGGCCTTTACTAAGGCTATTATTATTATGTTTAAACAGCAGACTTATTAACTTTATTTGGTTATGCAGCCATCTATTATTATATGAATGGATAATAATATCCTTATTTAGTTTACATAGATTAAATCATTGAACTGCTTTTATGATGAGTTGGCTATTGTGTAGCATTTACTTATTATTAATATTATGCTTATGATTATTTTGGCATCTCAACTGATGACTATCTACCACCCATCTAACCAGATTAAGGTCTCTAAGCTTTCCTTTATTATTATAATAATAGTTATTATTAATAAATTTGTTATTAAATTAAATCTGGTTGAGAAAGTTTCTATTCTTAAATACTTTCCTCTTTTTCTTATCCTTATTATTGTTGTTAATTTTATTTTTCATCTAATGATACTCCCAATTAAGCTAAATATTTTGCTTGCCATTTCTTTCTTTATTCCTTTTTTCTTAAACTAATATCTGCATATAATGCTTCTCTATATTCTTTTATAGTAAACTTTTTATTATCATTCATTGTTATTCTTATTGGATGCTAACAAACTATCTCTTCATCAGGTGATGTAAAGTCTTTTACATATTTATGTTTTAAAGCTTATTCTGCTGTTAATCTTTAATTTGGATTGTAACATAATAATCTTCTAATTAAATCTAAAGCTTCTTCTGAAGCTCCTTGGAAAAATGATGCAAATGCTTTTTTCTTTGATGTATTTATTGAAGCTAAAATATTTGCAGCTAAAGGACTATCAAGAGATTCAATTTCATCTCCTCTTGGTTTTCCTAGCAATTCTATAATTCTTTCTATTTAATTTAAGGTAGAGGTTCCTGGAAAGATTGCTTTACCAACAATTAACTCACCTATTATACAACCAACTGACCACATATCTACAGCTTTAGAGTATTTTGTAGATCCTAATAAAATTTCAGGAGCTCTATACCATCTAGTTGCAACATATTCAGTTAAAACTATCTAACCTAAAATAATATTAAATGTAATTATACTATCATCTTCTGTTTAAGCTAAACTTCTTGCTAATCCAAAATCTGCTACTTTTATTAAACATTCAGAATCTAATAAAATATTTGATGGTTTCAAATCTCTGTGAATTAATTCTCCTGAATGAATGAATTTCAATGCTTTTAAAGTTTAATATACTATGTATTTTTTATGAATCTCTTCTAAAATATTTGCTCTCTTTTATTTATTAATAAAATTAATACTATCACTGCATGAAGATCAGTTTCCATATAATCAAATACCAGATAAAGATCCTTATTATTCTCTGCTTTTATTATGTTAAGTAATCTCACTATATTTTCATGGCCATTTAATTCCTATAAAAACATCACTTCTCTAAATGTTCTTTAAGCATCTGTTGCATTATGAAAAGCATCAAAAACCTTTTTTAGTGCAACGACCTTTAATAATAACTATATTCTTTTACTTATTTCAATTTTTTATCTACAGCTTTCCATACTATACCATAAGCACCTTTTCCTAATTTCTATATAATCTCGAATTTTCTTGCTATATGAGGTTCTATCTCTTCACTCATTTCGTTATAAAAATTTTATTATCAATACAAAAAAATATAAATTATTTAAAAAATCTTTACCTAAAATAATACCTATTAATTTATTTTATTAATCTAAATTACTCTAAATATATGCTATTTCATTCTACTACTTTTTCATTTAATAAACTTATAAAAATATAGCTTTTATGTTTGATATATATTAACCACTGAATTTTAAATATTTATATAATTTATAATCTATAATTTTAAATGATTTTCTTATGCTTCCATCTTTCGAATTCATATTTTTATCCTTTTTTAAATACGTAGATTTATATAGTAATAATTTAGTTATAACATATTTTCTGGAATGATATTCAAAGATACATGAGTTAGAGATATCGAGTAAATAGTAGTTATAATGAGTATGTTATTTAAAAAAAATTATAAAATCCTGTAATTTTCTATTTAAGATGATTTTAAATAATAATAGTTACTATAGCTAAAATTAATTAAATATAATTTAATAGTATTATTTTTATTATTAAAAAACCAGTTTTAATTGATAAATTATAGAAATAAAATTAATATAATATTAGATACATTATAATAGGTAATAGATAAATGATAATATTAATAATTACTCTATAAATCAATTTTATTAGGTTGGGTTTTCATCTTATTTATGCTATTTTTCTGCTAATTCTTATTATTATTAATGATTGATTTATTATAATCCATTATGTAGTAAACCAGCTAATTCATTAAGATCTTTTTTTATTTCTTATTGTTAGGTGTTTGAAAATTATAATCCATCAACTTTGATAACTAATTTTCCACTATTTTAATCACCGGTTCCTTGTTATCCTTTTGGTCGTTATTTTAACAATGCTTCTACGTTGATTTGTAAAACCAAAAAATAATACTCTCCTAACCAAATGCATAGTTAGAAAATAAAAGCTAGAGTATTAACTAATTTCACATTGCTAAGAGCAAAACCTGTGATACAGACTGGTAAAGTACAACAGAAATTAAAAAGGCAACCAGGTCTTCCACTGTAACAATGCTATACCATAAAAAATGCACTTGCAACTATAGAACAAACCTTAGATGCGGTGTTTTCATAATTGAAAACTTCAACACATAACACAATATGAATTGCTATTGCAAACATTGAGTAGAAGGATACCACTCCTTTGTTTGTATTTCGAAGAGCTTCTTCTGCTTTAATAAATTCCTCTTCTGAAAGTTATACTAATTCATCAATTTTTCCAATAGTTAAAGTCTTCATCATCATTTTAAAAATATTAATTTGAGTTATTTACTAAATTTGATTTATTAATTAAATAATAGAAAAAGATACATGTTTTTAATCCTCTTATTATAATATAATTAGATTTTTCAATTAATTATCAATAAGTTTTTAACTAATTCTAAATAGGTAATATAAAGTAATTATAATGTTTTTCTAAAAAAGAATATTTTAATCATAGAACTTTTATTAAGATTAAAAAGAAACTTAAATCTATTTTATAGAAGGAATAATAGAATGAGAAAAATTATTAGAATGCAGAAATTTAATAATCTAAATAGAAAAAAAAAAAATTAAAATAACAGTAATTTTTATATTTAATAATTAAAAGAATAATAATGAAATATATAGAAATAATCAATATATAATTTATTTTTATAATGAATGAAATTTAACATTATATTATATGTTAATTGAAGTGTGAATAATATTATGAAATTATTCTAATTATTATTTTTGAGATTTATAATATTTAATAAAAATTATTCTTTATGGGATAAATAGTTGGAAAATGTAAAAGTTTGGGATTACATAATCAAGATATATTACCATAAATAGAAATTGAAAAAGAGGTTAAAAGTGAAATCATAAAAGGTTTAAAATAAAAGTTAAATGAATTTGATGAATTTGCAATATAAAAAGTGACTACTTATAGTTTAAAATTTGATGGATTGTTTAGAAAATAAGATATAATAAAGGAGAAGGTATAGAATAAAGTAAAAAGATAATAGATTCGCTGGGTTTAGTGAAACCAATGGATTGTGAGAAAATAAAATAAATAAATGAAGATTCAGATATAAAATTTAAATGTGGTATAAGTTTGGGACATCCAATTAATATGGTTTTTAAGACTATTCGTGGATCTTCAATTGAACTTAATGATAGTGGATACATATTATTAAAATTATGGGGTTTTGGGGAAATGATGATAAATTTTTAATAGTGTATTAAGATATAAGGAATTAAAATAATAGGATTAGTGAGAGGAGGAGATATTGAATGTTATAAAAAAGTTATTAATAATAATGGATGGGAAGAATATGATCATATTATTATTGATGATGAGAACATTCTAGATCTATAATATGACGAATAAACTCATGAAATTAATCATAATTCTATTCTAAGTGGATTATTACTATATGATGGAATTGTAATTTATAAACATTATATTGATAAATTACAATTCTAATGTGATTATCAAATTGTTAAAAAAGATGTTTTAGACATTATTGAGAATGGTATAAAAGAAGCTAATTTAATTAATTTTATTGCAAAGATTTCTTATATTAAAAAATAAGATTATATCAAATTAAAATAGTTTATATTGACATAAAAAAAGAATTCATTTAGTAGAGATGTAGAAGTTACAATAAAAAAGAAAACTATTTATTTTAAAGAAGATAAATAAATATATTATGATTAACCAATTATTTTAATTAATAGTTCTCCAAAATCATTCTCTATTGCAGATAAATTTGCAACTTAATTAGAAAAAAAAAATATCAAATGGGATTCAAAATTGTTAAAAGCTAAATTAAATGAAAGAATAAAAGAATATTCTTTAAATGTTTAAATTGCTTTATAAAAAGATATAATAATTTAAATAACAAAAGAATCTTGTGAAATATAAATTCATCATTGGGAAAAAGGAATTTTAGTTCCTTATTATAAAAATTTAGAATATATATCTTAAATAAAATAATGGATTAAAGCAACTTAATTCATCAAATATGAACCTAATTAAGATCCAGTATAAGATAGAATAAGTTATTTGGTAGCTAATTTATTTTAAACTATTCCAAAAGTTGATAAAGTTCTTGGTACTAAATATGCAAATATTCCTTTTGTTGAAAAATGGAAACCTCCTTATGATTAATTTGATCCTCATCATAAAAATTTAGAAATTCATCGCAAATCTGATAAAATATTATTGATTTGGCTATTTGATTATGAAATAGATGAGAATGTTGAAAAATTAAAAGAATTAATCAAATTTAAAAAAAATAATCCTTAAATTGGTTTATAAATTGCGATATTAGGTTATATTAAATTTAATACATGGACTACAAAATTTTTGAATTTCTTAGATAAATATGAATTAACTAAAGCAATTTTGGATAATACAATAGAGACTTGGTTTCCTCAAGAGGAATAATTAGGATAATTTAGATTTAACATTATACTTTAAAGAATATATGGTTTAATGTTAGATAAATAAGATATTATGATTATTGATTCTCAAGGAATTGTTAGAGTAATTGATAATAGCTATGAAATTATTAACAATTTATCTTAAGAATTTGATAAATTAAATGAGAAAGTAAAAGTTACTGTAAAAAATTAGTATTATTATACATAAAATTAGTAATTACTGGAGGTAATATTAGAATTTAAAAAAATGTATTCGAGAAAATCCTTAATTAGCTGAAATTGTCAAAAACATTTAAGATAAAGGAATAGTAGAGGAGAGTAAAGTACTAATAGAGTAAATGAAAGATAAAGTTTGGTCTTTTGAAAATGGACAAATATAAGAGGAAAAATGGCATGAATAACCAACTAGAATATTAAGAAGTATAAAAGATTTTACAGATATTAATGAAATGGCCAGAATTATTGCAAGATATATTGATAATAATGATATATGTGCATTGAAATGAATAAAATATATTGAATCATTCTTAAGATTTTATTTTCTACTCTATCAATTATCTTTTCTCATTTTCTTACTATTAAATTGATAAAATAGATTAATTTTGTTTTTACAATCTTTTAATTGTTAGTTTATTAGGTTCACTTAATTTTTGTATTTATACTTCTTTATTTACTAAGTTTTGTTATAATTGATTGATTTATTCTTTATAATTTTATTATATGATATCTAGTAATAATTATAAAATATCTTTTACTTAATTAATTTTTTAAATTATTATTTTCTTTAATGTAAAAATCAGATTTATATTTAGAATCTTCAATTTGCGATTGGAATTATCCAATAATTTATTTTATTTTTTTATTCTCATCTATACTATCTCTAAGCATTAATTAATATTTTCTCATTTATTCTTAACAGGCTTCATATTTATTTTTAAGTTCTAATTTAACTATATAATATTGATATTAATTTGTACTATTATTAGAATTAGAAACTTCTTATTGAGATTATAAGATTTTCTATGAAATATCTACAAATTATTTTTTAAAATGATCTCGTTATTATGTTAATTTTAATAATTTTTCTTCAAGTCCATCAACTTACATACTAAGTGATTCAATCTTATTTAGATTATTAATATTTTCACCCATTAATTTTTCATTAAATTATTAAACACATTTTCTAGTTTCAGCTTTTGTTTTAATATCAATTTACAATTCATTGAGACTTGATTATAATTTACAATTAAGTAATTCAGTAGCTATTAACTTATTTTATATAATAATGTTTTCTTCTTCTTCCTTCTCTAACTACTTGACATAATCATTAATTTATTCACTCTATTTTTGTAAAATTTTTTCGAATTCTTATTTTTATTAATCCATTTAATTTTCTAAATGTTTTCTGAGTTTCTCTTCATTCTTTTATTATTCTAAGTTTAATTCTTCTATAGTTCTTTAATGATTCTAATTTTATATTTAAAGATTATTTTCTAGCTATTTATTCTAAACTTCTAATTCTTTTACTCTTATTTTAATTTAATTCTTTTCAGACAATAACTCTTATATTTATAATTAGTAATATGAACTATTAGTAATCACAATCTTAAATAATTAAATCCTCTACTTAAAGTTCTTTTTCTAAATTTTCAATTGTGTTCTATTAAAGTTGAAGCCCTTATTCAAAATCCAAAATCTCAACATCGCTATCAGAGTCACACATTCTATAAACTAAAATAATATAATTACATTAAAATGCAAAATTTTTATAAAATTCATATCAATAATATGAATTTGATATCTAAATCTAATATTTATAATGATATATAATAAAGATATATTTATAAATGATTTATCTAATAAGCAATCTAAAAATTAAACTATTTTTATATTAGATAAATATGTATAAAATAAATTATTTCCAAAAATTATTTGAAAAATCTATTACTATATAGCATGTTTGAAATCTTATCAAANTACTATCTCTAAGCATTAATTAATATTTTCTCATTTATTCTTAACAGGCTTCATATTTATTTTTAAGTTCTAATTTAACTATATAATATTGATATTAATTTGTACTATTATTAGAATTAGAAACTTCTTATTGAGATTATAAGATTTTCTATGAAATATCTACAAATTATTTTTTAAAATGATCTCGTTATTATGTTAATTTTAATAATTTTTCTTCAAGTCCATCAACTTACATACTAAGTGATTCAATCTTATTTAGATTATTAATATTTTCACCCATTAATTTTTCATTAAATTATTAAACACATTTTCTAGTTTCAGCTTTTGTTTTAATATCAATTTACAATTCATTGAGACTTGATTATAATTTACAATTAAGTAATTCAGTAGCTATTAACTTATTTTATATAATAATGTTTTCTTCTTCTTCCTTCTCTAACTACTTGACATAATCATTAATTTATTCACTCTATTTTTGTAAAATTTTTTCGAATTCTTATTTTTATTAATCCATTTAATTTTCTAAATGTTTTCTGAGTTTCTCTTCATTCTTTTATTATTCTAAGTTTAATTCTTCTATAGTTCTTTAATGATTCTAATTTTATATTTAAAGATTATTTTCTAGCTATTTATTCTAAACTTCTAATTCTTTTACTCTTATTTTAATTTAATTCTTTTCAGACAATAACTCTTATATTTATAATTAGTAATATGAACTATTAGTAATCACAATCTTAAATAATTAAATCCTCTACTTAAAGTTCTTTTTCTAAATTTTCAATTGTGTTCTATTAAAGTTGAAGCCCTTATTCAAAATCCAAAATCTCAACATCGCTATCAGAGTCACACATTCTATAAACTAAAATAATATAATTACATTAAAATGCAAAATTTTTATAAAATTCATATCAATAATATGAATTTGATATCTAAATCTAATATTTATAATGATATATAATAAAGATATATTTATAAATGATTTATCTAATAAGCAATCTAAAAATTAAACTATTTTTATATTAGATAAATATGTATAAAATAAATTATTTCCAAAAATTATTTGAAAAATCTATTACTATATAGCATGTTTGAAATCTTATCAAAGTTTTTTAAGTTCTAGAAATTAGCGAATTAAATATTATTAAAAGAATAGATAAAATTAAGAATTCTATTTTAGAATTATGATTTTATTTAAATTGATCAAAAAATTAACAACAAACAAACTTTACAAATTGAAGTGGTTCTTCTTATAGAAAAATGAGTTTAAGAATAAGAATCTTTATTATTTATTATATATTATAAATGAATATTAATTACAATGTAATTTAAAATCTTTTGCAATTAATTTCAAGAGTATGTCTCGTTCGAACATAATCCTAATACGGTTTTGAAATAATACATTGATAAAGTTACTTAACTTTATTAATGTATTGATGCTGCTATGCCAATTGTTGTAATAAATGGAAATAAAGTAAATAGTAATCTGACATTAGAAGAATTAGAAATAGGACTGGATTGTTAAATAAATTTATTTTTTCAATATTTTGAAGACATCTAATTTTGTTTGAAAGATGATGTAAAATAAACTAAGAAAATCAACCTGAATATATATTAGAGCATATAAAGAGTAGAACTTTTATTAGCTAAATAATTAAGAATTGATTATGAAGTGGAAATTATTTAATAAGAATAAAATTTACCTAAGAATAAATCTTTTTCATTGCTTAAAAAAAATGAATATCATCTATTCTAAATTAAAGCTAATTTATTTATAGAAATTAATAATCAATAGATGTTGTTGAATTTTTATGTTTTTGATAGAATATTGTTTATAAAATAGATAATAAGGAAATTATTCAATATTAAAGGATGTTTTTAAATATTTTATAATGATCATATTCAATTAGATCAATAAGAAAATTTAAATGAAACAATATTTTCTTTATAAATTCAAAATAATTCAATTCTAAAAATAAATGTTTAACAATATATAACAATCAATTGTAAGTTTAATAACTTTAATGGGAGTTATAAGGTGTAAATAAATCAAAATTTGGAAGCTGTTATAAATCAATTAAAGAAGAATCATAAATTTGATGTAAATTCTATTACAGAAATTAAATGTAATGGATAGTTAATACCAATTGAGAATTTAGAAAAAGAAAAACAATTTATAATGGAATAAATAATAGAAGTAAAAGAAGAAAAAGTACCTGATTAGATTCTTATAACAATTATTGACTACTTTAATTTGACTAGGAGAAAATTCAGAAGTTTTAATGAGAAATAAAAATTGTTAGAATTATTGAATGCGATTGGTAAAAAAGATGATATTTAAAATTATGAATTTATTTGTAATGGTAAGAATATTGAAATAAATTCATATACATTTAATTAAGCTGGTTTTGTTTAGAATTAAAATTACTTTGTATATTATAAATTTATTAATAAAGATCTTTTAAACTAAAGCTTAAAATTAAAATAATAATAAGTTTAGGATAGTTAAATATTATTTATGATATAAAGTAAGAGTATTTAATCAAGTCAAATAATTTAGAAGAAACCTTAGAATTTAATAATTGTATTAAATGATTAATCATAGAATCTTAAGAAAAAAGTTGAAGTGAAATTAAATTAGATTCTTAAAATTATAGCATAATCATAATTAAAGAGTAAATTAAACTTAGATTAAATAAGTTTTTATTTAGGAAATAGAAAATTAGATTCGAATAAAACATTTTAAGAACTTAATATCATGAATAATGATGAGATTGAGATTATTTAAAATAAAAATACTCCTCTATATAATTCTGGATATTTTTCAGAAAAATCATTGATATCTGAATCTTAAAAGTATAAATCTGATTCCTTTTTTATAAGTCAAAATAATATTAATGAAATAGAATCAGGAAAAATGTAAATCAGATTCTGTAAAAATCAAGGTGAAGAATTAAATTTATATGTAGATGAAAATGATATTATATCCCAAATTCAAATTTATAAAGATATTTAGGCTTAATAAGAAATTATCTTAAAATTTAAAGGGGTTTTAATAGATGTAAATAAAAGTTTTAAAGAATTAGGAATTATTGACAGAAGTTCTATTGATGTAATATATATATCTGATAATTAAATTAAAACAATTTAAAAAAAAGAAAAATATCAAAATAAAAAGGATGAAAATATTATATAAATGACTTAATATGATGTAAATAAAAGAATCTATTTTTAATTTTGGAAAGATGGTATTCTTAGAAAGGAATGTAAAACATATAATTAAGAAACAATCAGATTTTAATTAATAAAATAGGCCCTTATATCTGAATATTAATTATTAAATAATCTTAATATTATGTATTAAGGTTAAAATGTTGATTTGAATTCTAATATCTCAAGAATAGTTAAAGAGAATGATTGTCTATTTACTTTAGAAGAATAATAGAAAATAGATAAATAAAAACAAATAACTTTATAAATCGTATTGCCTGATGGAGATGAAAATTGGGAAATTTAAATTGATTAAGATGATGAAATCTCAAGTATTTATAATAAAGGTAATAAATTATTTTTAATCTTATAAAGTTTATGCAAAGTTAGAATAAAATAATTTTACATTGTTTTATGATGGTAAAGTTTTAGAAAGCAATAATAAACCATTTAGAGAACTCTAAGCAATAGGAGAATACTAAGTTGAAGTAATTCTTTGATGATTATTTTTTTAATTTATTAATTTATGATTTAAATAAAATTTCCATAACTAAATAATCATAATTATTAAATTACAAATCCAAACTATGAAAAATCTATGAAATTTTATTTAGATGAGGCTTTGAAATATTTCAAAGATCCTATACCAAAAGAAGTAAATTATATTTTAACAATTAATGATTAATCATAAGATTTGAATAAGGACTTGGCAAATCTATAAATTAATAAAGCTTCAAGAATTTAAATATTATTTTCTATTGAGATTCAATTAAAAATTACTTTTTAAACATAAAATGATAAGATTGTGATAGAATTTAATTCTTATAATCCAATATCATAATTAGAAAAAAATCTCAAAAAAACTCATAATTTATTTTCTTATGGATTAAATTTCTTTTATAAAAACAATTTATTAAGTAAAGATAAATCATTCGTACAATAATAAATTTAAAAGGATTGTGAAATTCAATGTTAAATTATTGGAACTTATTTAATAAACTATAAGGGAGATAATTAAGTTTAAATCAATATATTTTCAAAACTTACTTAAGTTTATTAATAAATAAAGAAATTGTTTAATATTGAACAAGAATTTGAACTTTATTATCAAGAAGAATTATTAAATTGTGAAGAAAAAAACAGAGATATTCTGTTTTTCGAATATCAAATAAAACCATATTCATTAATTAGATTGAAATTAAAAGAAACTATTACTATAAAATTATATATAGAAAAACTTTAATTATTAAAATAATACAAGGTTTCTCAAGACTTAAAGTTTAGTGAATTAAAAAATAAATTAATAGAAGAAAATTAAATTGATAAACATTTATCGTATTCATTCTTTATATAAAATTAGAAAATATCTGATGATGATTTAATATCTGAATAATATAAACAGTATAAGAATTAAATTTTTAATTTGAAGACTGTTGATGAAAGAATTAAATTTTATATTTGTGAAAAAAGTTTGAATTCATTTAAAATTAGAGTTTGTATGAATTAAAATTAAAAAATTTAAGATTTATCTAATTTATAATAATTTAAGGAGTTTGAACATCGATTTTATTATTAAAATTAAGTTTTAAATACATCCTAAACTTTTAAATAAATAAATTTAAAAAATTTTGATATAATATATTATGAGATTGATTTGACTGATGAAAATTAGAATTTAAATTTAGATGATGAATTTTTGGTATTTAACGAGGTAATAAAATTGAAGTTTGAGAAATTTAATAGTAACTTAATTTATTGTGATGATTTTTCAATTTACATTACATTTGATTAAATTAAGAAAGCTGTAGGTAGAAATTTAGAGATTAATGATCTTTCAAAAATGATGATAATTTATAAAAGTTAGTTAGTGCCTATGAATGTAAAAATAATTGATTTAAAAATAAAACCTAATGATAATTTAGTTGTATAAGAATGGAATTAATAATAAGAAATAAAATAGTTAGAGAGCAACAAAAAAAATTCTTGAGTTTGATATTATAAATTTATATAAAAAGATAGGTTTGAGATTTATGAGGTTTTGAATTAATAATATTGAATAAATAAATAGACAGCATATCTAGAATTTTATAAATTATTAAATTATATTATCTCTTATTGGTTGAATAGATTGAATTGTTAATGTTTTTTTTACATTTATATTTCTTATTTGACAAGTTTTTATTTTGCAAATTCGATTTAATATATTTTAATTTTTGGTATGATTTCTAATAGAAATAATTAAATATTTTAGATGAATTAAAAAAAATGATTGTTTATATATTAATTATAAAATATCACATAAATGGTTTTGAATAGGTACCAGTTCCTAAATTAAGTAATGTTCTTAATCTATCAATTTCATCTTTTAATCTCTTATTTTCTTATAAAACATTATAATTAGAATTTGCTAGAGAGTATAATTGATTAATTTACATAATTCATTTCTATGAGATGATTATGGCCTTTAAATGACTTGAGATTGTTGTTGTTGTAATTGTAATTATTAGATTTATTTCTAAAGTGTTTCAATTTAAATTTTAAGTTATTAATTTTCTTATTCTAAATCACCTGCAGTTTATAAAACATATTCTAATTCATCAAAACCTTTTCTAAAGAATAATATGTATATATAATATACTTGAGAGTATCTAATTCTTATTTAAGTTTTTAGTTTTCTTTAGTTAAAGAATCAATTTATTTTTTATGATCATCGAAGGAATATTTGGTTAATTTATTTTAATCTAATTCAATTCTTAATGATCTATTTTCTTATTCTAATTGATTTCTATCAGAAATGAATCTAGCTGTAAGTTCTCGTATTTCTCTATCAATTTATATTCTTTTTGATAGTTCATTTTAATATCTTTAATCTTCACTTTCTTTATCTCTATTTTAATATTTAACTCTCCATTATTCACATTCCATTTATAATAGAGCAAGTTTCTTTTCATATTCTCCAATTTTTATTCTTTGAGATATAACTTCATTTTCAACTAAATCTACACCTTTATATCTCATTTCACTATTATTTAGTAATTATTAGACTTAAGTATTTTCTTCTCTTAATCTATCATTCTCTACACTAAGTAAAAACACAATCATATAAATATCTTCACCTAACCATGGTTTATTAGGAGGTTGTCCACCTTACATTTCTTAAAAATTTGGTCTTTCTTCAATTATTCTAGCCTAAATTTATTTTAATTGAAATTTCATTCTTTAATCTTATTGAATTTATGCAATTTATTAAGGAATATCTCTATTTGGTTATATTGGTGCTCTATACTCCATAATAAATAAATTTATTTTTAAATCAATAACAATATATTATATTTATATATATATATAATATATATTTATTCATTTACCTCTTAAATTATTATTATTAATCAATGTTTTCATTGAATATTCAATAAAATCTTATTCAAAGAAACTTTCTTCTTTTTTAAGCTCTAATTTCTTATCTTTAAGTTATTCAATTATAAGATTTTACATTTTCATTATTTTTTCTTTTTTCTCTCTTTCTAATTGATCTAAAATTAATTCATTACTAATCGCAATTTATTATTAATTATCATCTTTATTTTTATATTTACTATTATTAGAATATAAGAGTAATAATTTTAAAGGGTTTCTTTCTTAAACTTAAGGAATTGCATTTAATAAAATGTTATTAAAAGTTTATTAGTTCAATTCTATTTATTGAATCTAAATATATTTATTATTTAATCCAGTTTTATTTATAGAACTATCAGATTGAATAGGTTATTCTTATAAGAATTATTAAGTTTAAATAAGATTATTTTAGGTTGATGATTTTTAAGAGAACTAATTATCATTTTATTTATCTAGCTAATATTACACTAAATTTATTTATTCTTTGTTGTTTAGAATTTAACAAGACTCTTGAGAATGGTTCTAATTTATTTCATTTTATTTAAAGAGTGATTCTTCTTTTGTATTGATAATTTACGAATTCAGATCTATTTCACTAACTATATCCTATTTAATTTAATTTAATACCACTCTTTCAATAGAATCAGTTACCTATTAATCTTATACATTATTCTAAATAGGTTAGAATCCAAATAGAGTAACTAATATAATTATTACAATCAAGATTCTCATTAAAAACGTAAATTAATTATGGATAATCAATTCAAAAATATTATAAATACTTACTTATAACTACTAAAAATTATTATGAATTCATCAGATATATTTAACTTAAAATAAATAGAAAGTATCAATTATTATGTTTATTTGGTAATTAAATTTTTAAGATAATCAATTGAAGATTTGTTTACATAATTTCATCATAAATTATCAATTTAAACAATAATTTCAATCTACATTAAAGTTTTATATCCTTGCATAAACATATATAAACATATGGTTTTTAGATTATTTTAAATCTGATACTTTTCTAATTGATCAATAATTCAAACTTTATATACTTATTATAAATTAAACAAAAAAAAAAGATTTTAAACAAAATCAATTGATAAATTCCTTTCAAAGATAATAACCAACTTCAAAAAACATTAATATAAAAACTAATCTAGGATATAAAAAATCACAAAAACAAATAAAGATGACTTTATGACTTATATTCTTGTTTATTTAATTAAATATCCAAAATATTGAATTAACATCTTATGAAAAAATCAAATAAAATAATTCCATTATACAGATTTACTAATGATTAAGATTAAATATTTCTACTCTTTTTATATTGTGTCTAAAAATTTATATTAAAATAATAAACCAGATAAGGAATCTCTTATATTTACAATTTTACTTAATCAGATAAAATAATAATCAAAATTACACATAAAAAAACTTAAAAAAGAAATTACTAATAAAAAGATTGTTTAGAAATGTATATAATAATTCTCTAAAAAGACATTACAAAAATTTAATAATTTTAATTCATATATCTTAAAAAAAACCTTTTATTTCCAAAAAACCATTACCTTTACTTTAGAAACATCATTAGAATTTTATACTAAATATTGATTTTTTATTTTTGAAACCTTTATTTAATCAAATGACTTTCATATTTACTTCACTTTATTTATAAATTTATTTATTATCAATCATTATATTACTATTAATTCTCCAATTATTAAATTAATTTCAATGTATATGTTACACTTTCAAATTAATTTTGAGGTAATTCCATCAATTAATTTTTGAATTCTTTTTTGTAATATTTTCTAAAATTCTTTTCAAATTCTACCTACTTGTCTTTTGAATATTATTTAATTTCCTTTAATAAATTTACAAAATCACTCTTTATTTAGTTTGCATAATTTTATTAATATTTCTATTCAAATTTTATCAAAATTTTCTCTAAAGATGTTGAATTTGCCTATTAATTACTTAATCCCTTAAACATTCTATAAATACTTGGTCTATAGTAATTTTTTTCTGTTCCTAATACATCATCACTTTAAATTTAATTCAATATTTCAATTAAATTTTAATTCTTCTTTTGATTTGATATAGTACTATGTTATTCCTTTGAAACAAGCACTTTTTACTTATGATATATTACTGATTATTATTTATTCTCATAGATTTAATCTTTATATAGTAATAATCTTTAAAAAGTCTGACTTGACACTTTATAATACCTAAGTAATAATTCCATAAGAAATCTTAATTTTTTCATTCTTATATTTAAGGCTTATGGTTCTTTATAGATAATTAATTCATTAATTTGCAAACTTTCATATATCTAATTTTCAAATTCATTTATTTCATCGACTATGACTTCCTATTATTCAGTAATTATAAGTATTTCCAATTCTCCTGCTTTTTGAATGATTTAAGCAAAATCTTAATATTGAAGATTTTATCTTCTTGTTATACATACCCTGTTTTTCAATTATTATAATTATTCCTAATTAAATTTAATTTATGTTCTCTTTGATAATTAATTCAAAGTTATAAGATCTGTTTAAAGATAGCTATAAAATTTGACAAATTTAAAATCTAAAATACATTCTACATATCCATAAAGTAATAATCTCAATTGACTAGAATGAATTGTATCTGCTATAAGATCAAAAATAAATGAGTATTATTTAAACATTTCACTATGTAGAATACTTTATATCTCAACTTATATAGTTTTATTGAATGTATCCTCTTTTGATTTTGATCTTTCTGTAATTAACAAACATGTTAATTAAATCAATTCACAAATTTAATCTGGAAAATATAAATCATCAGGCAATAATTGCACTTAATTACTTTATCTATCGCAAAAGAGTTATAAAATTTCCTTATCTTCCTCTTAAAGTTCATATTAAAATGAATCTCTTTTCTTATTTCTTATTTCTTCAATCTCTTTAAAATGTTCCTTCATTTGAGGATATATTACTGAAATCTATTAACAATATTAGGNACAAAATCACTCTTTATTTAGTTTGCATAATTTTATTAATATTTCTATTCAAATTTTATCAAAATTTTCTCTAAAGATGTTGAATTTGCCTATTAATTACTTAATCCCTTAAACATTCTATAAATACTTGGTCTATAGTAATTTTTTTCTGTTCCTAATACATCATCACTTTAAATTTAATTCAATATTTCAATTAAATTTTAATTCTTCTTTTGATTTGATATAGTACTATGTTATTCCTTTGAAACAAGCACTTTTTACTTATGATATATTACTGATTATTATTTATTCTCATAGATTTAATCTTTATATAGTAATAATCTTTAAAAAGTCTGACTTGACACTTTATAATACCTAAGTAATAATTCCATAAGAAATCTTAATTTTTTCATTCTTATATTTAAGGCTTATGGTTCTTTATAGATAATTAATTCATTAATTTGCAAACTTTCATATATCTAATTTTCAAATTCATTTATTTCATCGACTATGACTTCCTATTATTCAGTAATTATAAGTATTTCCAATTCTCCTGCTTTTTGAATGATTTAAGCAAAATCTTAATATTGAAGATTTTATCTTCTTGTTATACATACCCTGTTTTTCAATTATTATAATTATTCCTAATTAAATTTAATTTATGTTCTCTTTGATAATTAATTCAAAGTTATAAGATCTGTTTAAAGATAGCTATAAAATTTGACAAATTTAAAATCTAAAATACATTCTACATATCCATAAAGTAATAATCTCAATTGACTAGAATGAATTGTATCTGCTATAAGATCAAAAATAAATGAGTATTATTTAAACATTTCACTATGTAGAATACTTTATATCTCAACTTATATAGTTTTATTGAATGTATCCTCTTTTGATTTTGATCTTTCTGTAATTAACAAACATGTTAATTAAATCAATTCACAAATTTAATCTGGAAAATATAAATCATCAGGCAATAATTGCACTTAATTACTTTATCTATCGCAAAAGAGTTATAAAATTTCCTTATCTTCCTCTTAAAGTTCATATTAAAATGAATCTCTTTTCTTATTTCTTATTTCTTCAATCTCTTTAAAATGTTCCTTCATTTGAGGATATATTACTGAAATCTATTAACAATATTAGGATATCTCTTGATTTTTATTTAATTATTATATATAATTTACAATGCATTATTAACTTAAAGCATTCTATTAAATTTAATGTATTAAATCTAATTTAAGAATTTCCTTAAAAACAGAACTCAGTACAATAATATGTGGAAATATTTATTAGGCTATTATGATTGAATCCTTTTTAACTAATTCTATAAAGGCTTTCATGCTTGGATCTTTTTCAATAACTTAAAAATAAATAGTTTATGTCTCAAATAATTCTGCTCTTATTGATTTTAATTTATATTAACTTGTAAATCTTACTTCCTCTATCTTTCCTAATAGTTTAGATAACCTTTATTTGCAATTCAAATCTTCTATTTAATCAATGATTAATTAGATTTAATTGCATTGTTCCTATCTAGCCAAATCAAATTCTTATTGTTAGTTTTTCTAACTAAATATTACTTAAGCATTATAAATAGTAATTTTCATATCATGAATATTGCTATCTAAATATTCAATAGATTGTTCCAATTAACTCTATATGTTAATCATTTGTAGACCTAAATATCTAGCTAATATGCATCCAAATGATTCCAGTGATTAAGTTAAATGCTATTTCGGAGTTGTTTGATGATATTCAACTTTTGATTCAAGTAATTACTCTTTACTACTTCCTCCAAAACTACATATTTATATTTAACTTTACTATGCGCTCTAATTAAAAATGCTTGCTTGATCTTTCTGATGTTCACTTTTTGTCTTAAAGAAAGAGAATTATTCTTAGGTTTTATCTTTTTACATTATTTTTATATTTTATCAATAAAAATTATACAACTATAACTATAACATTATTATTTATATAAATAATTAGTTTTTTGTATGTCTGGGTTCCACAATTCTTTTCTTAATAATTAATTTTTACTTTTTATGTCATCCCACAATATTAGTCACAAATATCGAAAATTAAATTCATATTCATTTCTCAATACCTTCAGATAAATCTTTAATTAACAAACTTATGATCAATTTTTATATATTATAAATATTACAAAAAAAATAATTATTCAAAACATATTTTTATTTGAAAGGTTTAATAAAAAAATAAATTAAAATAATATTTGATTTGTCTATTCTTTTTTCTAAACAAAGAAATAAGTGTTAATAATTTTAATCAACAGGATGTAACTAAATTTGTGTCTTTAATTTTATAAATAAAATAGAAAAATTATCAAATTAAATGAAAAATAAAAGGTCAATAATCTAAGAATAACAACCAGATCATGAATAAATACGTAAATAGAATGAATAAAATCTATAACCAGCTGTATAAGTATATAGAATGTATACTCAATTACATACAGTAGCTTAAGCAGAATAAGTTGCTGATTCTTTATCATCAATAGATTTTATACAGAAATAATGTGAAAAGAATATGAAGGTTCGAGAATTTGCAATGTACGCAGCATAATTTTTTAAATATGAATATTACAATTTGGGTTAACCCATTATGAATTAAGGAGATTATGGAGATAGATTTTATTTATTATTAAATGGGGAGGTTGGAGTATATATTAAAAGATCAAATGAAGATATTTAACTTGATTTAGACTTTATAACTAAGCAAGTTAGTGAAACAAATATTGGTTAAAGTAATGTATAGAACAAAAGAAAAACTCTAATTTTGACTTAACAAAATAAATATGATTTAGCATTAAGAATGTTATAGGATAATAATATGTATTTTAATTAAGGAGTTCCTTTATTTAAGAAAGTATATTAATATTATTCAGGTCAATGTTTTGGTGATCAAGCGTTAATTCACGATTAACCTAGATCAGCAAGTATTATAGTAGTATCTGAGGAGGCTCATTTAATTTCGATGAATAAACATGATTATAGATTAGTTTGTGAGAAATAGATTTAAGAATAGAATTCAAACGTAGATTATTTTATGAGATTATTTAATGGAGCAAGTAAATTTACTGTGACTAAATTTATATAAAATTTAAGGACAATATAATTTTCAGCATAATAAATTTTATGGAAAGAAGGTGATGAACCTAAATTTTATTTTCTAATTTTAAAGGGGAGAGTTTAATTGTATAAACATATTTCTGAAGAATTATTAAGTTAATCAGCAACAAGAAAGAAGAAGAAGATAGTTTTAAGTCAATTATCAGATAATTCATTTGTTGGATAAGAAGAAATAATTGAATCTCTACCATATCGTTTGTATTCTTGTTAAGTATTAGATAATACAAATGCTTATTTTATGGAAGCTAATGAATTCAATAATTTAAAAAAGAACTTTCCAGATATTGTTAAATTACTTAAAGACAAGAGTTCTTTAATTTCTGAATATATGAATAATAGATAGAATAATATTATTTCAATATTGACATAACATGAAAGTTCATAATAGGAATAACCATAATTGATGATAACTGAAAGAAAAACTGTATAAGAGATATTTAAAGATCCACTTGATAGACCAGATAAAAATGATATACGTTCATAGAAACCTAGAATACTTCTTTAAACTGAAATTGCTCATCAAAATATGTTATATCATTAAAAAAAATTACCAACTGATGCCAAGACTAAATTTTTGATGGTTGACACAAATCTTATAGAATAAATTAGAGATAGAGTTTCTAGAAAAGTATGGACTGGTGCTGAAAAGAAATTAAGAGTTAAGACTACTCAATTAGAAGACAATTAAATATTAATTAGTAGAGTTTAGAGTGCAATAGGTACAAGACAAAAGAAAATGTAAAAGTTTGAATCTTTAGAAACTGTACTCTAAATTACATCTTCAGAACCTTATTTAACTTCTCCTACTTTTGTAACTTCTACTACTAATACTATTCCCCTTATTTAGAGATCATGGAATCCTTAAAGTAGATAATTAAAAGCTAAATTACGAAAGACATACAGTTGTGCTAATAGTCGAAATACCCTTTAAACTAGATAAACTGAAAATGAAGATATATTCTCCCAATTCAAACCTCCATAAAGAATTCACACTGCAAAATCTACTAATAGAAAAATGTAATATAACTATTATTTATTATTTAAGTTGTTCTGCTTTTGGATATCGCAAAAAGAGTGATTAACTTTTAAATTTTATTTGATTTATTATTTTTTATTTTATATTTAATTCTCCTCTATCTATTATAGTATTTCTTAAAATTTATATAATTTCGAAACTCTAATCTATATATGTTTAGATTAAACCTAGTACTGTAAATCTTATTTAGAAAATAAAAATTATTAGAACATAATATACGATATATAATTAAGAGAATCTATAATCAACAAATTTTTGTTAAGTCAATTTTCTTTTGAGATTAAAGATTAGATTTATAAAATAAATGAGTTGTTAACAATAAAATATTGTAATATTGAAAATTAATTTCATGTAAAATTGTTTCTGTCTTGGAATATTATTAAATAAAGGGATTTAATGAAACAAAATTTTATATAAAATAATGTTTTTAATTCTTTTGATTCCCTGTGTATTTTCTATAAAGAAGAATTTAGAGAAGGTTTGGATTGACACAGGTAAAAATTTTTGAGATAAAATCTAGATTCTGGAGATGGTTAAGCATTATCAATAATTTATGCTGCTTTTAATTTTAATGTTTTAGCAATTTCAACAATTTATGGAAAAACATCGTAATTTAATATTATGAATTAGGGCTGAGAAAGCAGGAGAAAATGTGTTAAAAATAACTACAAATATATAAATGCCTAATCATGTTCCTGTAATTTAAGGATTAGATCTTCCATACAATAATCATTCTTGTGTAAAATCATATAGTGATGGGATGTATCAGGCAAACTTATTTCCTGACCATTAAATTCCAATTTTCAGTTAAGATTTAACAAAAGAGCTTAATATTTAAATTGAATACCGAAGCAAGAATTCGACTGTAAAATATGATGATTTATATATTAGTTTACGCTTATATTATTAGGAGCAGCAACAAATTTTGCTAAACTTCTTTAAAAATATCCTGAGAGAATTAAGAATATAGGAAGTGTAATAATTGTTGGTGGAGATACAGATGGATGTGATCCTAACTTTAATTGTGATCCAGAAGCATTATAAATATTATTAGAAATTCTTTAAGCCAATAAAATTACTATAACATTTATACCAAAAGTTGATTAGGAAATTCCATAAAAATATAAAGATGCTATGATATAATTTGATAAAAAATTAAGTAATTGGGTCATAGGAATGATAACATAAAGTTCATTTTCTTTACATAAATGTAATTAAAATAATATATATTAGTATTGGGAGTCTATTTTGTATCTAATATGGATTAATTTACAATTGAAAAATATGGTGTGGAGGTGGAAGAAAATAATAATTGTAAGGGATATGTTAATTTCTTTGAAACATCATTACCAAATAAGGTTTAAGTTGTAACATAAATTAATTTGGATAAATTATTTAATAATTTAGTTTAAGTAATTGCTAAGGCTTCAAGAGGAGCTTTAATAAAGGATGATTGAATATACATTGTTAATGAGTTTAAGTATTTATAATTGTTAATATATATATATATTAATCATAATGATTATGATTTACTAGCAATACTATTTAGAAATGAAAATGAATTAATTAATGAGAAAGATGAAATGTTTTAATGTTCCATAAAATGAAAAAAAGATAATGACGATTTATATTAGCTGAACTTAAAATTAAAATATACAATTATATATAATTATAATGCAAATTCCCTAGACTTAACCAGAATATAGACCAAGTAGATTGACTCGATACTCTAATTAGACTTTTTTTTCAATGGAAAATTGTGATGTATTTAACAATCAGAATGAAAATATGGGATTGGCAATGTAACAAGATTATTACCTTAAGGGATTAAATGCCAATGTTATAATAAGTGTTTGAAGTACGATATACATAACATAAAGAAAACTAAATATAAAAATTTTATAACATGCCTTATTAAGAAAGAATGTATTATATGATTGATAAGGATTCAGGCAGAATATTTGATATGCGTATACCTGAAGTATGAATTACATATATATAAAGTAAGCGAAAGAAATATAAGATATACTAAATGGTGATACTGTTAGTTTAATAAAAGATTAAGCTTGGAATGACTTTATGTAATACAATTTTAGTATATAGATTGTTGACTAAAAAAATGAATGAACATTTACTAGATTATGCAGAATTGGGAGATGCACAATCAATAAACACATTATTGTTACCAACTATTGAATATTATATCAATATTGATACAAAGTATGATTACATGATTAAATTGATTAGAGGTCTGGATGATTGGACAGCTTTACATTTTGCATCAAATGAGGGAAATTTAGAAATTATGAACATTTTACTTAATCATGGAGCCACAGTGGATGCTTTAACTAAATTTTTAAGAACCCCTTTCTTTTTGGCTGTGATGTAGAATTTTTTAGATTGCGCAACAGTATTATTGTAACATAACGCTAATATCAATATCTAAGATAAAGATGGAAATACTCCATTACATATTGCATCTTAAATGGGATCGATTGAAATGATATCATTTCTATTAGAAAAAAAAGCAGATCCATATATTAGAAATATTTATAATTAAAATTGTGTTTCAATCTGTTGTGATGCTAACAGTTTACAAATCTTTATAAAATATGGATATGTTAAAAATGAAGAAGTAATTGAATTCTATTAATTTTAAGAATTATGAGAGAACAATAATACCTGGAACCAATGTTCTTTTAAGAAATAGTAGATATGATCATGTAATGAAATTAATAACTACAGAAAAATAAGTAGAAGGATAATCTACAAATAGTTTTAATTAAGCAGCAACTAATACTAATAATAATAATAATAATAATAATAATAATAATAATAATAATAATAATAATAATACAAATGTTAAGAAGATTTCTAAATTTTAAAATTTAGCTATGTACTTATGTGTAAACCTTTTAAAATATAAGATGACTCCGAATATGTTTAATTTTTATTAACTTTTGGGTAAAGGAGCATTTGGAGAAGTATATTTAGTTGATAGAATTGGGTAGGAAAATAAAAAATTATTTGCTATGAAAATATTAAAGAAAGAACGAATGATGTCATAAAATTTATTGAAATATGCAGAAACAGAAAAAGAGGTTTTAAGTGTAATGCAGCATCCATTTATAGTAAGATTAAATTATGCATTTTAAACAGAATCTAAGTTATTTTTGGTAATGGATTTTTGTCCAGGAGGTGATTTATCAAAATTGCTTGACATAAAGAGAAAATTGACAGAGGAAGATGCAAAAATATATGTGGCAGAAATATTATTAGCAATAGAATGTTTACATAAAAATAATATTATATTTAGAGATTTAAAACCAGAAAATGTTGTATTAGATTAAGAAGGTCATGCTTTATTAACAGATTTTGGATTATCAAAGAAAGGAATAACTGATGAAGAATTAAGTAAATCATTTTGTGGTTCACCTGCATATTTACCACCTGAAATATTATCAAAATAAGGTCATAATAGAATGGCCGATTGGTATGGATTAGGTGTGATGACTTATGAACTTTTAGTAGGTATACCTCCTTATTATGCTAATGAAAGAGAATAATTATTTGACAATATTAGAAAAGGACCATTAAAAATACCGAGAAGTTTATCTAATGAAGCTAAATCATTTATTGTAGCTGTAAATAGCTTATTATTATTATTATTATTGTAGCTTTTAAATAGAGATCCAAATAAAAGATTAGGATTTAATTAAGATGGAGAAGAAATAAGAGAACATCCTTGGCTTTCAAATATTAATTGGAAAGATTGTTATGAAAGAAAATTAAAACCACCTAAACCAGCAGAATAAAAATTTAATACTGTTCCATTGAGAATCAATTTTATGGATAGTGAAGATGGTAAAAATAAAATTACAGGATGGTCATTCTATGAACAATCATGAAATGTTATAATCACAAATTCTCTTACATTCATCATTCTCCATTGACCATTTCTCCATATGGTATTCCAATTTACTATCCAAACTAGATCTTTAATCTACTATTCCACATGCCAATAATGTTTCTACAAATAAATATAAACAACTCTAACTGTATTCATCTCCTCTATCAAAATATTCATCAGGAATTTTCTTTAATTCTTATCTGTAATCTATCCCTTCCTCTATATCATTTAATAATAAAATTGTTAACAAATCATAATAATTCTTACACAATCTAAATTTATCTAATTTTAAAACTAATTCATTTCCTAATTTCTTATCAATTATCTAATTTATTAATTGAATTAAACCTTGATTCAATTAATCAAATAATAAGATCTACTTTTTAACCCTCTCGACATTACATTAATAATTTCTTTGCATGTATATTATGGATGATTCCCAACATTCATGATCAATTTGTTAGAAAACATTGAATGCTAATTCAAATATCTATGGATGAGGATTTGGATTCAATAAGATATTTTTTATTTCTTTCATGTATTCATTTTCCAAACAAACTTACATTAATTGTTTAAATATCATCTCATCTTGTAAATCCATAAATAAAATAGAGTTTATCACTAAACGTAAGTCTATGTGATCTATTTCATTTAATTTTAGTAGTAAATACGAACAATCGATATATCTTTTATGTCTTGCTGCTATGAGTATCAATAATGAACATATTTTTGGATATTAAACAAAATTGTTTATATCTTGGATCTCAAAATCAATGTTGTGTTTGTCAAATATTTATAAAATATCCTAAGCCAAGTTAGCAAATTGCTAATCTTAAATCCATTAAAGAGAATACTATAAGGTTTTCATTAACAAAGCTTTTAAACCAGAAATATTTTCACTATTTGTATCAAGTAAGTTTTTTAAATGAAATTAACATCTTCTGGTTTCTCCTTAACAATCTCTAATTCTCTATAACTTAGAAGAACATTCAAGTTCTAATATCATTTATCTTCTTTCCTCTGAATAATCAAGCAAATTCTCTAAACACAACTTTACTATTTATTCAATCATTAAATTTATAATTATAAGAAAATAAGATATGTAATATTAATTATAAAGCAAAATTTTGAACATATTTATATATATACTTATGAGAATTTCCATATTATATTTGAATATAATGTGATTAACAATTTTTACAAAAATAGTCTCATATATTTTTTAAATAAATTAATAATTAAATCTTTAACAATTATAATTAAGGCCTATTAAATGTGATATAAAACTACAATCCGTAAAAATATTATGAAACTAAATTTAGATTTATATGAAAATTGATTATAATTTTATTTATAAAGAAAATTTTTGAGCATTAGTAATTTTTGTTTAATTTTATAAAAGGGCTTGAATATTTAAAATGAATAAATGTAATGAAATTATGAAATTTATTTAATTATATAATGGAAGTATATGATTAATTTATTAAATTTCTAAGAATTCTTTTGATTAAAGAATAGCCTACAAAAATTGCTAATAAAATTATCATTTAATAGCTTAGGGCTTCAATTATCATAATGTAAAATCTAGTTGTAGAGCACAAGTAAACAAAGATTTTGTTCTGAGATTACAATTCATCTACTAAATATTAAGAAACTTATAATTAGAATATTCGATAATATATCAAGATTCTATTCTAATATGATGATAAAAAATTATTTAAATTAAAAAAAGTCTATATATAAAATATGAATTTGATTCAACATATTTGTTGCATATAGGGGTAATCTAAGAATATAAATGAATATAGGATGAATAATCTAAATATATTTTGTATATGATAAAAAAAATAGATGTACAAGGTTCCAATTTTTAAAGTAGATTAATTGATTCAAAAAAAGCTTATTGGTGATTTTGTTCATAAATTAATTTATATGAATATCTTGTTTGATATGATGTATAATTTTATATAAAAAGAATGTGATTGTAATAAATGAATACAAATAATATAGTATCGATTAAATAATAAATAGATAAATATAGGAATGAATAAATAAATGTATAATAATAATATAGATTTTTGTACATCAAATTATACTTAATTTTTCACCATAAGGATAACACATTTCACTTAGATAGGATGGAACAGTAGCAGTTGGTTCTGATTTGGTAATGGCGAATATATCTTCAGAATTGAAACCAACAGTTTTCTTTAAGCATTAAAGATTCTAAAATAGGTTTAATAAAGATACTTTTTTGTCAAGGGTAGATAAATTTGGATGAGTTAAGATCATTCTCAATAATTATCTTAGATAAGTAACAGGATGGAATTACAAAATGTAATATCTTTCAACCAATAGATTGACTACATCATGTAATTATTATTAAGTTGTATTTTCATATGCACATTTAAATATGTTATTCCATAATTCTTAATTATTTTAATTTAAAAGTGATAAGTCAAACTTTTCAGAAGATTTAGCATGAATCCAACTATAAATATTTTATAATGGATAATCAGTTTGATTCATGGATTCAACATGTTAATCTGAGACTTTGCCTATTTATAACATTTCTTTAAGATCTTTTAATTCTTCATCTTGTAATTTAGATTCTTGGATCCAAATTAATTTTTCTTGTTATTGTAAGTATAATTAATTATCTCTTCTTCTGAAATGATATTGTATTCCCTGTTTCTTGTAATATTTGTTCTTTAAAATGTCTAAGAATAATTGATCATCAAACAATTAACTTAATTATAGGAAGAGATCACTTGCACTATATTCTCCAAACTATTTGAAATCTGAATGAATAAGATCATCAAATTATAAATCTTTAATGCGTAATTGAGTTACTTAAACATTTGGTTCATAAAGATTTAAAGAATCTAAGAATTATAATTCTTTATTATTTAATTACTTTCCATCCATTTATTTGAACATCAAATAATAAGTGATTAATTTCTCTTCTGCTCTTGATCTCTTTCTTGTAACAAATTGATCAATACCATACAATAAATCAACATCAAGATATCTATCAGGTGTTTATTAAACTTCTAATTTCTCAACATCAGTTTCATTGAATAATATGTCAATATAATTAGTTTTTTATTTGTAATAAGGTGAAGCATGTTTTCTTCTTAATTCACCTTTGATTTCTTATATCTTATCAGCAACAATAAAGTTTATTTTATGTACTATTTTTTTAGCTTACAATCTACTAATCTCATTATTCTTAATATCTTCTTATAACTTCATAAGTAACTCTTTCCTCATTTTAATAAGATCATCTAAAGTTTTATTAACTTCCAATTTTTATCTCAAATATTGGGATGACAAAAATGGATTATATTATTTGATTTATTCATGTAATAACATTTCTGGATCTCTTTATAAAAAGATACCTGCAGGTTTTATTGATTTTTTAGATGATAATCTTTCCTCAATTAATTTATCCCATATTTTAATATTAAATACAAAATCAGTAATTTCAGGTAAAGGTTTAGTTTTTAATTCAGCATTTAAATTTAATAGATTGACAATAAAGAAATCACTTGAATCAGGAAGATAATCTTTTTAATCTTTTTATAAAAAACTATATAATTAATTAAGTTGTTCTATCTCTTGATCTGTTTTTTTAATTGAATGTTTCTTCCAAGCAAGAGAATATGTTTGAACTACAATTTATTTTCTTAGTTTTTAAGAATGTGGTACTGGAATCAAATCAGAATTAAATCCATTTAATTCTAATCTTTTAAACAAATCTTAATCTGGACAGTAGGTAGGATCATAAATTTTATTAGTAATTAAACTAGCTTTGAATCCCTCCATAGAAGATTTAGGATTATATATTGATTATGAGGGAATCATACCATACCATTTAGGGAAGTTTATAGGTTAAACCTTGATTTCATCTATTAAATCTTAGAATACATTATGTTGATTAACAATTCTTAATCTTTCCTATAAATCTAATAAAGTTTATTTTAATTTTAATTTATTTAAGTTATCATTCTTATTTAAATAGTTAAATGCTTATTTCTTTAAATATTACCATTAAACATCGAAAATTGTTTATGAATTGAGTTCCTAATTATTAGAATTGTTTACAGATACATTATCCAATCTATCTTTAATTTTATTAAACAAAATGATATCAGAATTCTCTAGATTATATGCTAATTATAATTTCTGTTTGAATTGTTCTTTGTCCTTCCCTAAGAAATCATATAATGTCATATAGGGTGACAAACCAACTCTTAATTTAGCATAACCGTTGATTTCATTATTAACACTGAGATCATGTATTTCAATTAATTAAACTGATTTAGGTAAGGTATCTTTGATTGCTTTGTATAATTCACTATGATAAATGTCTTTTTCTTCATAAATCAATTTTTAACCCGAATGATTTTCTAATGCCTCAATTCTTTCTTATTATTTATGTGTTAAATCTCTAATTGTATTAAGATTTTGTACTCTAAACCTAAGTTCTTCAATGAATGAAACATAATTTTGATTTTAGAGTGCTAAATATGTTGCATAAGCAATAAGTTCATCTAAAGAGAGTATAGTTAAATTATGAGGTAATGGAAATTACCTATCAATTTTATTGAGTTATAAATGGAGATGTAATGAATCAATAGAATTTAAAAGATCTTCCTCTGTAACTTAAGTTAAATACTCTTTACTCTCAGTATTAAGACCAGCATTAGCAAAAGCTTTGGCTAACTTATATTTATCTGAATGCACTAATTTAGGTTAAGCTTCTTTTAATCTTTAAGCAATTTCATGTCCTTTGAATTCAGAGACAGCTACCATTAAATCTCCAAAATCAGATAATTTTGGTTCAATAGGTTTAGTTTCCTCTTTATGAACAAATTGCAATTCCAATATAGATATGATGAATGCCAAGAAGTTTGGATCTTTTCCTGTAATGTAAGTAAGTGCTGTTTCTAATGATAATGAAATATCTTCTTTTTCAATTTCAGCAGGATGTAATAAACCTGCAGAAACTAAAGCTTCTTCTAATTCAATCATTTTAATATTAGTATTAATATGAACAAAATCTTATTTTTAGATTTCTAGTAATTTGATATAAATTCTTCTGATTTCAACAACTGCTTCCAAAACTCTATAGATATCTGTTTATGTTTCTTCAATAAGCTTCTCCACTTAATAAACAATATTATCAACAGGTACTTCTGGTTATTATTCAAAGATATCTAATAAGAATGCTTCAATTAATTATCTTTCTTCTGTATTTAATTCTTTACTCTCTAATTAATCAAATACTTTATCAACTATTTCATTACTATGATTAGTGTTTACACCTGTTAAAGCTAATCCATGAATTGCCTATGCTAATACTCTATAATCATTCAATTTTAATAAATCTCTCATAAGTACATCAAAACCCATAGATGTTTCAATAGTTTTATGATCAAAATAAGATCTATCTCCTCTTGCTTTTAAAGCATGTCCCAATTATATAAATGTTTATCCAACAATATCTTCATTTGAATATTCTCTTTTCTATAGAAATGCAGCCAATATAGTTTTAGCAGGTACATTCGATGTAAAGAAGGCATGATTTTACATATTCTATGCTGCTTAAGTATTCTAATCAATTTATTTTTACAATTAGATAGCTATTCAATATTAATCAATTATCAATACCTTTATTCAGAGCCTTTTTAAATTATTCAACTTGTATCTTGAATATTTATTTACATTTGAATAATTCATACTCTTCACTAATTCTAAAGAGAGATCTCTATAAATATTTAATCATAATTCAAAAGATTTTAATATTTTTATATTCATTTCTTCTTCTTGCATATTCTTCCAGCTCTATCTATATACTTTACTATCTCTCAATCCTATTTCTATATATAATCCTCAATTAATACTTATTATAATGGTAATTCAATTTCTAAAACTCTTTAATTATCTGAATATACTTGATGTATAAATATATTTCTACTCTCTTTCAAACATAACAAAAAACTAATCAGATCCATAAACTTACAAACTATTCTTTATTAATTACTATTATTAACTTATCAATACTACATGATTTCCCTCTACTCTATTACTTTGTAAACACAACAGCTATTCGAATATTTTAATTTATCTAAACTATAAAAATCCTAAAATCTATTCTAAATCTCTCCTAAACCTTAATCTTATTATATTAATTAACTATTATTCCCTTCCATCCATACATATACTCCTTTATCAAATTGATCCAATTATTATACTATGCATTAACTTATTTCCATACTTCACTTATTTTCTTACTCAAACTGTATCGAATATTTTCTCCATACTTTCTATCCTTCTTTATCTTCTTCTTTCTTTTTCTATTCTAACAATATTTTTATTTATAAAGATGTAATTTAATTTATTTCAAAATATTTATTTCTTTTCACTATAATATAATTTATAAATTCATTATAATATTAAAATTTTGATATTCTCAGAACTATCACTTCAAGTTATATCCTTCTTTTAACAAAGATACCTAAATTCTCAATAATCCATAAACAACCATTCTTCAATTTAAATCAACTTTCAAATTTAGATTCTAAAGATTCTTTAATTTTTAACACTTGTTTAGCTAAAATTTAAATCGACTAAATTAATTATGTATGCTACCTAAAATTTTAAGATGCTATTCATTTTAGATTCAATACAAGTATTTCATATCATATAAACGATTTTTACAAATATATTAACCTTTAACCTTAAAATTCCAACAAAAGAAGAAATTGGATGATCAGTAGAGGTATTAAATTAAAAATTTATACAAAAATTCTATAAAACAAGAATTCATTTATGTTTATCAATAATGATAAAATTTTGATTTTGAAAACGCACACATAAAAAATATGTAAAAGATTAAATTATAAAGTTAAATTATAAGTAGACTAAATAGGTGGTATTTTAATAATGAGAAAAAAGGATAATTAGAGAGTTATTTCAATTGAATTAAAGCAATTAAAACTATAAATGAATCCTGCAAAGTCTTAGGAGGATTAGATTACTATTTATGATCATTAAATATATTAAGTTTACTTAAAAAGTGAGAGAGGATATCTTATATCTATTGATGGTAAAATAATAAAGATATTTTAATTAGATAGATAGCAGAAAGAGCTATTTGAAAGACTTTTATATTCTTTAGTAAGAATTATTCATATTTAGGATTTGTTGATTCATCCTTTTAGATGTTTTCTGGTTATGTTTTTAACTATAGTTTAATTGATAATGTTATTTGTTAGTTTAATTTGATTTAAAAAAATCATTCTCGTTAATTTATTATTTTTATCGAAGACCCTGATAAAAAAATTAATGGATGTAATTTTAAATTTTTTTAATCAAAATTTAATTCCTAATTTTAGAAAAATTAATTACAATATACTCTGGCTTATGACAATTTTTCCAAGTCATTGTTTATCTTTCTTAATTTATTTTTAGGACTATTTAATCATTCTCACACATTTAAAAATTCCATTTTTGATTATTATCCTTTAAATTATATATTTTATTTTCTTTTCCATGCTCATATACAAAACCATATTCATCTATAAGATAACATCTATATTCATAAATTCTCAGATTACCCATGATGAACATTTCCTTGAAGATCAGGCCAATTGTTTTATTCAGTAAATCTTTTGTAATCACCCAATCCAAATTTAATACTTCCTACCTTTAACAATTAGATTTTGATTTAGGACTATTGATTTTTTGGTATTTCAGATTCTCCTATAAGAAAAAAAGCATGATATTATGGGCAACTTATAATTTTATCTTCTTATTTTATTTCTACCAACTCATCTTGTTATAGATTCAAAAAGTTTAATAATATTGATTAAAATTAACAAGATTGATAACTATCTTATTCTTAAATAATTTATCTATTTTAATTCATTGATAATTAATTAATTATAAAACATTCTCGTCCTTTTTGTAAAATTGTTTTCATATTATTACTGAAATTTTCTATACTCATGCTAAATATATTTATTTCTATGAGTTATTTTATATTCTATTCAAAATTTTGATAAAGAATATTATTATTTTAAAAATTTTCCAAAAGTAATATAATTTCTTGAACACTATTGTAAGCCTCCTCAATTAATTTTAAAAGGCCTTAAATTTGTAATTTGTTTTAAATTGATTTTTCTGATAGATCATTTACACGAATCACCTACTTATTATGATGGTAATGTTATTCAGAAATGCAATCTATACAACATCCTCTTGGTTATTTGCAATCTTGATGAAGGCAAACATATGTAATTTTTTACCTATGTTTGCAGACCTAATTTTAATTAAATTAAATTGATTGAGCAAGAATTTAATTCATAATATAAATTAATGCATTTTTTTTTCTTTTTATTAATTGGAAATATTGATAGAGAGTTAATAAAAAATTTATACTAATAATTAAATGCAAATCCATAGTACTCTTTTTGTTTCTAATGTATATCATTATAGTTATAAAAGAAAAGCAAAAATGTAATAACCTCTAAAAATTAGTCTATTTAATTTTTGAGATAATATTTTATTGAGGAATTCCCATCTGTATGATTAAAAATTCACTTTTTTAAATAGAAAATAATTGTTTAAATAAAAGATGTGATAAAAAATTTAAATTAAGAATTTAGATTAAATTTATTTTAAATGAATGTTTTGAAGTTAAGTGCCCTTTTTCTGATTAATCAAGACACTTTAAGAAAGATATGAACATAAAATTAAAACTTGTATACAATTCGAAGCAATTCATCTGATTAATAAATAACATGATGAGGTAACAAGAAAATTACTTTCAAGACTAATAACAATAATAAAATAGAAAAAGTTGTCTAGGATTTAATAACTAGATTAAATAGATTGGAAAATTAATAAAAAAGATAAAATAAGCCTTTGTGTAATAAACTTTTGAATTAAAATTGATGAATTATATAAAAGGAACTTAATGTTTATAGTAATTAAAGAAATCGTTAAATCTATTTAATAAATAAAGCATTCCTAATTTAAATATCTATAAATATTTAATCTACTTTAATTAGATGTTTATAATGATAAGAAATTAAACTTCCATATATTCTTAGTAAAAAATTAGCATGTTAATATCCGTAAAAAAACAAAAAAAAATTAATTAAATTATATTCATTTGAAAATTTTTACAATTAATCTAGATATTATTAAATTCTGTATTTGAGTTCATAAATATATAGAACACTGAAAAGAATCGTAATTTAAGTGAAGTAAAAAGTCTAAATTATGGTTTAAATTAAAAGTGCATTTTAAATATAATAAATCTTATAAAAATTTGTACTGTTATTAAATAGTCTATCGAAATTTTAGGAGAGAAGAATTTATTTACTTATTTGATAATTTTTGTTCATTAGATAATTTATAATAGGATGAAAATTCATATTAATTTTAATAATAAAATAATTTATATAACAATTAGATTTAGTAATGGATTTTTAAGATAAGATATTATATCAAATTTAATATTTCCTGAGTTGTATTTAAAGATCTTGAATTTATTTCTAATAGTTCATTTACATTCTTTTCATTTATTCTTATAATGATTATATTTGTTAGGAATATAACTTGATTGTTCTGTTTAAATTTACTATCTAATTAGTTTATAATTAATTTTACGCTGCGTGCTTCTTCTTATTCAAAATCACTAGTTTATTACTCTCTTGATATTTATATTTTGGAATCTTTTTCTTTTTCAAGATTTTCTAATCTTTAACCCATCTTCTCAAATTTTTTTTAGTAATGATGATCTAGCAAAGTAATTTTTGAATCTCCCAATTATTTTTATTATTTGTCAACTGTATTCTCAATATGTGAAGGTCTGCCACTAAAAAGCAATTTTTCATATTATTAGTCTCTAATGACACAATTCTATACTTTTCTTTCAATAGAATCAAGTAATTAATGAGTTTGTTACATAGTTTTTAGAATAAATTTTAATAAAAATAATTAATTAAAGTTAATTTAGAGAGTAAAATAATTTATTATTTAAATATTGATAATAACAGTCATTTCTTTTTTTTCCCAGGTTTTTTTTTTCCTTTCTCATCATCAGCAGGTTTTTTGAGTTTATCAATTCTAGCTTTATTTCCTGAGAGATCATCATGTAATTTACGAAATTCTTAATATTATTATAAGAATGTAGATTATTGAACAGCTAAAGGATCAATAAATTCACTTATTCGATATGGTATTTCAAGAGACAATAGAATTCGTCTTTAAGTTAATATTTTTCTTAAAGCTTCTTTAATCTAAAATAAAATAGAGAATATATTACATTTCCTGCAGTAAATCCTTCAGTAGCATGAGCCAAAGAACTTAAAGGGAAATTAGGATGGAGTTATATTTTTCTTTCTTGAAAAAAGCTTTAAAAAATCATAATTCTGGTAGCATAATTAGGACAAGGGAAATAGACTCTTCTTTTAAAAAAGGACTTTAATTATTTTTTATTAGCATTCCATGGAGCATAACTACAACCAATGATAGTAACATTTTCTTTTTGTTTTTCTGTAAAATATTTACCATATTTAAGTAAATATTTTCTTAATTTAACCCAATTCATACCTCCAGCAGATGAAGGTTATTATTCACCTTTCTTTTTCTTTTTTTTACCTTTAAATATACGTTCAATTTCATCAATATAAATAATAGCAGGTTAAAAACAAGCGGCAGTTTTAAATGCTAATGATAATAAATAATCAGGTTTATCTTAATATTTATTTTCTATATTAGCAGGTGATAAATCAAGTATTAGAGCATCACATTCAGTTTATAATGCTCTAACAGCATGTGTTTTACCAGAACCATGAGGGCCATAAAATAAAACATAATTACTTTCTTTAACATTATCTTTAATATATTAAGATCCTAAAGGCATTCCAATAAATTAAACTAATACTTATCTTAAATCATAAATTGAAGGATCAGCTACTTATTCTTATAATAATTCTTATTTTTATCTTAATGGATTACAATTTCCAATAAGATCTTAAATTTTAGCAGGTTCTAATTTTTTAGCAATACCTGATTCAATTAATTCAGCTAACATATCTCTAGGATCTTTTTTAGCAGTTCCTTTATCTCCTGGAAATTTCTTTTTTTTCTTTTTAGCAACACTTCTAAAACCAAAATTAATTTCACCTTCTTCTAAAAGATCATCATCTTCTGATTTTTAAATTGTTTATGTTTTTTTTTTTTTTGATTTCTTTTTTTTAGGATATTTCATTTTCTTAGCTTTTAATGCAATTCTTAAATTAATTAATTCCATATCAATCATTTCATCTACTACTTCTCTAATCTATTTTTCAACTCCTCTAGCAATTTCTCCTTTTAATAATTAATTTTCATGTTTCTAATAAGGATTAAGTTAATCATTTCTCCATTCATCATTATGTTTTTCAATTAAATCTTACATTTTTATTATTGCTTCAGTAGGTCCTTACTCAACTCTTATATCTTCATCCTCTTATTTTTTCTTTTTCTTCTTTTTACCTTTATTCTTTTTAGCAGCTTTCTTTTCTTTATCTAATAAATCCATCATTTCTTATTCCTCTTCTGTTAATGGTAATCTCACTTAATCCTTTTTATAAAATTAAGCAACTTTTGGTGGTACTAATTTACCTTCTGCTTTTTATACTTCATTCATATACCATCTTCTTCTTTCAGCCAACATTTAATTTTAGATATCATCTTACCAATCATTCATCAAATTTTCTCTTGCTTCAATCAATGCTGTTTTATATTCTTATTATCTTTCTTATTATTTCTCCTTCATTTTTTCTCTCTAATTATTATATATTTTATATGCATCTGTCTCATGTATTGGCTTTTCTAATGTAAATCCTAAAAATAATGATTCCTATTATCTCAAATCCCAAACTATTTCTCTTGCTTTAAATCCTCTATAGTATTTTTATATTGCTGTTATAGCTTCTTCTCTTTCTGTTGAATCATGTACTTCTAATCCTTCTTATAATTTCTTCTATTTCTCTTATTTCTTTACTTCTACTTTCTTCAATTACTTTGCTAACAACACTCTATCTATACCTTATCTTCCTCTTTCATTTTTCTATATAAACCATATTGCTTATTCAATATTTTCCAATACTGCCTTATCTACCAATACTTCTTCTTCTGGTTAAGTAGTGTCATGAAATTCATTCAAAAAATTATTAAGCATTTATTTACGATAAGCTAATTTTCTATTTTATTCATCTGAAAAATAATGAGGCAGACTAACCTCTGTATCTTCTATTAATCTCTTCTCATCAAATATTACATTATGTAAGTTTACAAAATCTGATCTTATCACATTTCCTTATGTTGAATAAAATATCATCGCCTATATATTTTTTAATCGATCTTTGTACCTGTTTTATTTGAATCTATCTTAACATTGTATTTTCAAGCATCTTCTTTAATAATCTTCTTTTTTATGGATGTAATAATTAATCATAACAACATTCCAATGATTTGTATGCATCTACATAAAATAAGTATAACTTCCCATAATATACAAACCATTCTTAATCAGCCCGTACTAATTTTAAGTTTTATTTTCCTTAATTTTCTATTAATGGATCCATCTCAATTTATAAAGCCTCCATAAGTTAATTTATGGATTGTCTCCACTTCAAATTAAAATATGAAATTGACATATTCTTATTTGAATATTATAATTTTTTATTTATTTAATTAAACAATAAACCTTTCCTGTCTAATAAATATATATATGTATCTAAATTTCATTCGAAAAACTAGTAAGGAGTTGATCCATTTGGATATTGACAATCTGGACAAACATGAATAATATCCTTACAATCATCCATGTAACAAGGTAAACAAGCCAAACATAAAATTCCAAAAGAACACAGAAGTAGAATACAAGAAATCGTCAATGTACCTTTTCCAATCCTTCTGCTTACTTTTGTTTGAATCTTTTAACAAATTTTCTTTATTTATTACTTATTTCTTGCAATTTCGACAAATTAGTTTTACCGATTGATTTTATCCATCTCCAGTTTCAAGTAGAGAATTCACTAATTTAATTTCCCTAAGACTTGATATCTAAGGAGATATAGTCTTCATAGGAATAATCATTTAAGGTGTTTATTTTTCTAGGTTCTTGTTATTTTAATCTTAAGTTTAAAAGTACATTCCAGCATTCCTTTCAATATGTATCAAAATTTCATCTCCAAGACTCTTAGAGAGTGCTTAGTTATCCATAAATTAATTTCTGGATTTGTAAAATGAATATATTTAATGGATTGTATTAAGATACTGAGAATATTAAATAAACAGTTTGTACCAAAATTTTTTGATAATTAATTTCTTTGAATAAAAGAGAGAATTAAGAATAAGGAAATTAACTAAAATAGAAATTCTATAGTACATGAGATTATTTCTTGCTAGAATTATAATTAATTAATTCTTTAAAATAAATTTGAACAATGTCTGAAGAGAGATATCAAACTTCTAAAGTAAATACATTTTGAATATAATGTTCTTAGTAAGAAAATGTGGATAAGTAGGAAGAAATAGTTCATAGAAATGTGAAAAAGAACATAGAAAATAAAAAATAAATTAATAATGAAGAGAAGGATTTTAAGGAAAATAGTTAACCTGAATCTAGAAATTATTTAACAATAATAATTTATGGATTAATTATTTTAGGGTTGATAGGTGGTTCTGTGTTAGGATATAAAATATTAAAAGCAGGAAATGTTTAAGATGAGGAATAAATGGATTTTTTTGTACAAACAATATCATAAACATTATTAAATGATCTTAGATAATAGAAATTGTTAATAATAGAAGAATAAAAAAAATAATTATAAAATTTTTATGAAAAACAATTTAGTAATATCCACTGGCAAAAGGTAAGAATATATATAATGTAAAAAATAGATTGTGAAGTATATTCAATAATAACCAAATGTAATAGTTAGTTAAGATAAAAAAAAGTGGATTTAGAAGGAGTGAATAAATAATGATTGATAATTGAAATTTCACAAATCAAGGAATGATTTAACTTTTTTGATAGTTGCTTCATCTTGAATTTCCCAATTTCCAGTAATAGGATCAATTTTAATTCTTGTTTCTTTACAATAATATGCAGCAGGTACTAATTTGATAACTTAATGTAATGGTATATTTAGTTTAGGTATTTCTGGTACTTCATGTTCATGAAAATAAGCATATAAACATCTTAGTATAGCTTAATGAGCAATAACAATGACAGGTAATCGTGATCTTTCAATTTCAAAAATAATTTATTCTATTCTACTGATAACATCTAAATATGATTCACCTCTAGGATAACGATAAGTTAATTTATTCATTTTTCGTTCTTCATAATCTTAAGGAAATTTATCAGCAATTTATTAATAAGTTAAACCATCACAAATTCCAGGATTTATTTCATCTAAAGCTTTTAAAGAATAATATTCGACTCCCAAAAATTCACATACTTCATTACTTGTATGCAATGCTCTTTACATTGTTGAAGTAAACATTTTTATATTTCTATTTCCTTCTAATTCTTAAATAAAATATTTGCCTAATTATTTAGCATACATTAATCCAGTCTAAGTTAGATCAGAATCTCCACCAACTTTATGAAGTACATTGTATTGACTCTCTCCATGTCTAGATAAATATATTGGTCTAGGATATATATGTAAATTCATCAAATATGACACTAATTTTGATTATAAGAATCCTTATATATTATAAATCATTATCTAAATTTAAAGTATTTATTATTATTTACATCGTTTCCAATATCTATTATTTTTATAAATGAAATATTCTCATCCATGTCAATAGGTTCATATACTTTAGCATATTATTCAATTCTCTATTAAAAATCTTAAGTAGCTTCATCAGATGATTTTCCTACATAATCAGGATTATTTAATTTTGTTAATTAGATATTTCGTAATATTACATCTTCATCATTACATATTGATTCAACCCAAAAAACTTAAACCTCACTAAATTTTTATTATAAAGTTTCCATTATTAATTTTCTTCTTTACTTTGTAGTATTAGTACCATCATATAAACTTACATCTCCTTCATATCTAAGATAATTTATCATATCATTCAATGCTAATAATGCACATTCATCTCTTGCTTTTGATGCCTTCATTTTATATATTATATAATACTTACATCTTTATTACTTGGATCAAAGAAATTTGAATTACAATCTGTTCCACATATCTATCTCCTATAATTTCCAATATTAAAAACTTTGCTCTTAAATCCCATCCAATTTAAATATCTACAAATCTTTCTAGAAATGTAAGTCTTTCCTCTTGCTGGTAATCCTACCATCCCAATTACCATCTTTTATTACTTTCCTAATTCTTACATTATTTTTATTTTAATATTAATATTTTATTCCATACTTTTATTCATTTTAACTCAATAATTATTTTCTATACTTATCAAAATAAGATCAAAGTATAATTCAATCATAGATATTACTTAATCAAATATAAAATGCATTAAATTTTAAGATCTTTTTCATCTTATTTTATTTCAGTTAAAATTCATAATATATCATAAAATACTTTAATTGTTCACAAATCTATTTTATTTTTTTAAAACTATCCTAAATTAAATTAACATAAAAATATTAATTATCAAATATCGTTTTACTTCTAGAAAATAAATTAAATTTTATTATTCTGATTCTATAAATTATAATTGATCTATCTACTAATCTTTATTAATAATGAAATTAAATAAAGATTTATATATTTATTTATAAATACCTATTACTTCACGTTCTTTAATTTTTTTTATTCATTATAAATTAAACTAGAGATTAAAATTATTTTTTATCAATCTAATTTTGAGATCATTTCTAAATGATATTCATTTTTATTAAAATTTATGCAAATCTTAATCTATTAAGATATCTTTCAAAATGATATTCCTATAAAATTGTTTTCCCATTTAAACATTATAATAAATATTCTAAAATAAATTGAAAATTAAATAAAAAAAAGAAATATTAGGTCTATTTTGGTATAAATTTTTAGCTTCTCATTCCTATTTAAAATATAAATAAACTTTAATGAAAAATAGTATTTATCATTTGAATAAAATCTTATTATCTTTGAGGATTCTAAAAAATTTTTGAATGTAATATTATTTATATAATTTAAGTTATTTATGTAGCAAAGATGCACAAAGGCGGATCATAAGAATTAACCTTTAATAGGAGTATGCTTAGACCATTATTGTTCTTCTTAGAGACCTTATTGTAATTAATGTATTCCATAACATATTAACCATTGTGAGAAACTGACATCTTTTGAATTGCTTCATGAATGGTATTCTATAAGAGCAAATTCATTAAAAGAGTATTAAAATTTTATTCAGAAATGTAAAAAAGTGATAGACTCTATAAATTAATTCATCATTCCAATTTAAAATATTACTTTAGAAGAAATATAAGGATCGTCATTATCAAAAGTAGATTAAATAATAAAAAATTTAATTTAACTTGAAAAAATAGAAATTGTATCATTAAGTAAAATGAATTCACTAATTTAAACATTCGATAAAATAGGAGAGAATTTGATTAAATTAAAAAATTAAAAGCATTAATAACCTATTGATATTTCTATAGAATCTAATCAAAAAGATGATATAAATTTGCTATAATCTTAGGATGAGCAGTTTTTTTCTCGTTTAAAATGGAATAACAATCCAATTATTGAAAATTAAGCATAATTGATTGATAAACATTCTGAAAATATTAATTCTATTAAAAATAATTAAGAAGAAGAATAAAATAACGAGAATATTGTCTTTAAAAATAAAATTGAAGTATTTTCAAATTAATAATAATATTAATGGTAATATTCATAGTTAGAGAGAATAACATCTCTTGAATCCTCACCTAAAACTGTATAAATATAAAAACAAGCTTTAGACAATTAGTTAGAACAAACTTCATTTATTAATTTTTAATTTTTCAAATAAAAGAATAAAATTAAAGTTAGATTTACAAATTTACAAAATAATCCGAATCTGCTGGTATCATAAGAAGAGAAGATATTAAAATTTTCTCCTTATTCTATAGAATTTTATGATTATCTAGACAGTTAGATTATTCCAATTTTTGGAATTCATAAATTTGCATTTAAGATTTTATCCATTGGAAAAACTATACATATTGGTGTTGCTGATAACAAAATTTTCAAAAAAGAAGATTACTAACCTAATTTAGAGGATATTCGGCATGGGTATAATATATTTTAATTTTAGAACATACCTTATAAGTAATACTGGATAAACATATTCTCATATATTGCAGGAGAATAATCAAAATAATAATTAGATTCATTTCTTTTCAAATGATATTATAATTATAGAAATTAATATGGATAATACTACCATAACTTGGACTAAATTATCATCTAATGAATAATTAGTAATTTAAATTTTATCAATTAGACAATGAAATTTCAATAATGTTAAAGTCTATCTCCATTTGTCAGATTGAGTAGTTAAAATCCTTTTCATTCTGTAATAGAAGTATATGAAGATTTCTGATGATATTATAATTTCTTATTTTTTTAATTTAATTGTGATATTGACACTCAAGTTGCTTTATTTATTTTAAAATAAATAATTTTGTTTGTGAATTATTTTTTATTAATCAATTTTGTTAATTTTTATTTAAAACTACTCTCAAAAATGAGTTTCTAATGATAATTCATTAATTTTGATTATAATATCTATATTTAAATAATAAAATCTAACTGAGAATAAAAATTTTCTGATTGCATTTATCATGATATTTGCATAATAATAATTTATCCTTATTGGTTAAATTAAAATAGTTAATATCTGGGATACAAACTAATTGCAACAAAAAAATTATTATCCAAATACTTTTTTATAATATTTAGACATTAATCTTTGAATTATTTTATTAATCACATTATTCTTATAATAAAGAGCAATAAAAATTTTTTCATTCTTCAGATTATATTGATAAGAATGTGATGAAATTAAAGTAATTTTAAATTAAAAATTCTTTTATTTCTTTTTAGGAATTATAAGAAATTTATCTTTAACATCCCTCTTAATTGAATGATTAAAAAAAATTTCTATATTTTAAACCATTATCTATTTTTTGCAATTATTATTTTTTGATTTAACAATAATTTTCTTGCATCCCGAAAGTAGGCTGATAAATAATATTTTGCAATTACAGAGTGATTTTTGAAAATTTCAGTCAATAAAATAAATTTAAAATAAAAGACCATATTAATTTTTTTAGAGACATAATTTTATTTTAATTTATGATGAATCAATTCGAATTTATCTTTTCCAAACAGTAATTAAAGTTCGGGTACCAAATTTATAATTGAATAAATTTAGTATTTATGAGAGAGCAAGTGAGAAAAATAATAAATTAATAAAATAATTCTATTTAAACATAAAATTAAAACTTTATACTTATATTTAAAAACTATTAGATTTTTTTATGTTATTAATTACAGAAAAAAGAAGTTTTCAGCATAATATTAATTTTTGAATATTAATGTTGATGTAATTATTAGCAATAGTATTATGTTGAATTGTATTTTTAACATAAGAATTTTTTTAGAAGAATTGAAAATTTCGTATTTTATTTATTTTTTACTCATTTTTTGAATAAATGTAAAAGAATATAAATATTAGGATTATATAAATTATTAAGATTGATAAGCAATTTATGACATAATTAATTAACATGAATGATCTTGGTATCTAGAATCCGGTTTCTAAATTAAATCAGTATAACAAATTAAATCTTTGATTAATAATATGGTTATTTTATTTAATAATTAAATATTTAAATAAATAATCTAAAATAATATTATTCTTTTATTTATGTTGTTTTTAGAAATTAGTAAAGAATGAAAAAATATTAGTTGAAATAGAGTTAATGGGTTGTCTTGATTGAAATTATAAATAATTATGATCATTTTTCAGATGCATATATATCTACATTTAAGTATAAATTTAATTAATAAAATCTTTATTTTTAATAATATTTTAATTGAGAATGGATTGGGCAAGATTAGAGATCATTATCCCTATAATTCTCATATTTATATATTTCTTGTATTATAGAAAATTTAGATTTTATCTCATAGCTGAAAAAGCATAGTCAAATGTAGTAAGACATAAATTAGCTAGAGGAACACCTCCACCTTCATATCCAAATGGATGGTATCGTCTTTGTAGAAGTTCAGAATTGAAGATTGGGTAAAAAATTTCATAATAATAAAATATAGATAAGTAGAAGAAATCAAATTTGCTGGTCGACATATAGCTTACTATAGAGGAACAGATAAAGTTGTTTATGCAGTTGCTGCTTATTGTCCACATATGGGAGCTAATTTAGGAATTGGTGGATAAGTTAAATTCAAATCTTGTATCGAATGTCCATTCCATGGATGGGCATTTGATGGTAAAACTGGATTATGTGTTAATTCTGAAAAATTAGACCCTAAAATTGTATCAACTTATTGTTACAATAATATTGAAAAGATGAATCCTAATTAAAAAGGAGAATATTTACAAAAAGTAGAAGAAGGAGAAATAAAAATAAAAACTTATCTTGTGAAAGAATTAAGAGGAATAGTTTATATATGGTTGCATTGTTTGGAAGCTAAACCATGGTATGATCCAATAGTAGAGAAGAGTGATCATCTTTAATTAAGAGGAGAGAGTGTGAATTATGTAAATTGTCACATTTAAGAAATTCCTGAGAATGGAGCAGATGCAAGACATTTTGATTATATTCATTCATCAGTAAATGATTATATTCCAACATGGTTAATAAGTTTTAAATGGACAATGAAGAGTTTACCTGCAAATGATCCAGATTTTTATAAGAAGATGGAACATAATAAAGAAAAGGTTAGAAAATATTAAAAGAATTTATTTGATTAATATTTATCAAATAAAGAATTACGATAATATATGAATGTTTTATGTTTAGATGCTTATTTAGTATTTTTTAATAAATGGAAGTTTAATGTAATATGGGCAACTGGATTTTAAATGGGGCCAGCAACAGTAGCATTATATGTATTATCTGATGTTTTTGAAGCTTTATATAAATAAGCAATATAACCAGTAGAGAGATTCAATTTAAAAGTGTTTCATACATTATATACAACAAGTTCATTACCTTATTGGGCAAGTGCTTATATTTTAGGTGGTGAATTAAGATAAGTAATTGCAGATGTTAGTTTATGGAATAATAAAATATTTACAGATAAAGTTGCTTATAATTTAAAAGGTGATGCTGATCCATTATTATTAAGATGGAGATAATGGTATGCACAATTTTATGAAGGATCCAGAGAATTTGAAAAAAGTTTAGATGCTTTAGAATGGTGATTATGAATTTAATAAATAAAAAAAATGTTATAATAAGAATAATTATTTATTGTTCTAATAGTGTTAGTTATAATTACAATCATTATTGTACATTTAATGAACAAATGTTAAGGAAAAGAAAAAGAATAATAAGTTAAAGATAGATTAAAAAAGAAGTTTATTAAAAATAACATTGAAACATTATTTGACATGAATGAAGAAGAAGCTTAATTACTTTAATAAACTTTTTAAAATACACTTCATAATTCTAAATAAGGTAAAATAGCTAAATATGATGCTAGAATTTAAAAAATATAAGAAATAAGATAAAAAACTGTCAAATTTATTCTTACACATGAATGATTTTATATTGGTTTATAATTATCATAATATTAAATTAACAGATTATTATTATTTTATTATTATTTTTATTATAAGCAATGCTTCATGATACTAAGTACTAATTTACTATGAATTAGCAATCAAATTTTGATTTAATTGTCTCCTAAATTCAAAGCCATTATCTTATCCTAATTAATTAGAACTCAACCTTCTCTTACATTATAAGATGCATTTATTAGGTATACTACTTTTATATAATAATCATAGATGGTAAGTAAGAACAAATCCTGAAATTTTGAAGGAGGCTGTAGATAAAATTTTATTGAATTCTAAATTGAATCAATTTAATGCCTTTTAAAAACTTAAATTCTTAATGGGGTATTAAAAACTATTAGGTAAATAGAACTAAACCACTTAAAGAAGCCAGAATGAATGCCAGGAAAAAAAAAAATTTGAGTTTAATCAATTTAGCCTTATTTATTTAGAAAAAACAATTTTAACTTTAAAGATAAGCTATTGAAATAATTAAACCAAAATCATAAGATACTCATAAAATGCTAGGTTTATTGATTTGGTCAATCAGTTCAAAATATAGAGAAAGATATTTAAGAGAAAAATTTAATTGGTGGAAATTAGTTGCTAAAATCAAATCTAATAAATTAGATAAATAATTAAAAGCTTTAGAAAGATTAGGAGATGAATATAATATGAGAAATCATAGATTAGATAGATAAAGATTAAAAGAAGTATTAAATTACAATATTATTATTAGGCATTTGAAATTTGGAGAGGAGATTTACTTAATTTCAGATTAAAAAAAAAGTTTTTTGGAGTTCTACTCAAAACAACATTTGGAAGATTATAAAGATGTTATACAAGATGGGTTGATTTACCTGATAAAAGAGAAAATGATATTAAAAAATAAGGATTATAATTAATTAATAAATTAGGAAATAAAGTAGATTAAAATAAAAGATTAGTTTGGAATGCTTTCAAAGATATTCATGATGAAGCTAAAAATAAAAAGACTAAAGTCATCAGAGAATTGATTGAAGTTACATTCAATTAATCTTTTACTGCGTTTTATAAATGGGCTAATTATAATACATATGCAAAACTTACTGAAACTAATCTAAGAAAAATTAAAGCATTATAACAGAGTGCAAATGTTACTCATCAATTAATCAAATAAGAAACTTATAAATTATTTAATCTGAATAAGAAGATGTAAATCTGTTCATTTCTTGATAAACTTATTTTAAAATTCTAATAAAGATAAAAATTAGATGCTTTAAAGTAGATAGAAAATTATTGTGTACAAAAGAAAATGGAAGAAAAACTTAATAATGTTAATAAATAAGATTTGATATCTAGATTGAAGGATTCAGCTAATAAGTCTGAAAAAGGATTGCTAAAATAAATATTGAGAAAATTCTCAATTAATAGATCTACTTTAGAAATTTAAAATAAGTTTTTTAGTAAATTT